TGACCCCGAGGCCATCCCTGCTGGGGTACCAGGCTGTACCTGCCTCCCTCGCTCCCACGCTCGGCGTCCCGGGTCCAGGCACGGACCCGGCCGGGTCTGATCCGCTCCCTTTACCTGGCGCTCACAGAGCCAAGCACGCACCAGGCTCTGTGTGGACCCTGGGCGCCCACTCCCGTTAGCCCCCTGCCGCAGAAACTCTCCCCATCATGGACGAGAAGACCAGGAGCAGAGAGCGAGGGGGCCACATGCACCCGAGCCCAGTCTGTCCCCAGCCCGGGTACCGTCAGACACGCCTGTCTGCTGGGCGCCTCCCACCCGCCTCGGCCAGCACCGAGCTCGTCCGAGGTTTCCCAGGCTGCCCCTGGGGACGCCACCGATGCGGGAAAAAACATGAAGTTATCTTTGACTTTTATGGCCCCCTTTCCCCTATTAAAATGCTTAAAGCTGTAACTGTCATCATAAGGAGCTCATTTATCTTGACCAGAGTGCAGCCATAAACTATCCGGGGCTGGTGGAATAGCCTCTGAGGTGATTGTTTCATCTATCGATAAATTCCGACACAGAGCAGAAAGGTCAGTCCCTGCCAGATAAAATGTCTCTTCAGCTTGTTAATTAAAGGTTTATAAGGATGTGGAAGAATTCGCTCTGGGCTAAGCCTTGGAGCGAAGGGGAACAGATACCTGGCGATGGGAGGATGGACTGGGGAGGACAGGGGCTCTGGTGATCCTGGAGGAAACCCGCGGTTCCCGGAAACCTGCTCAGCAGCCTTTTTGATTAACTCCTCCCCAAAGGCTAGGACTTCAGGCTTTGACTTAGGGAGTCAGCCATGCCTCTTCTGCCCCCCTGGCACACAGGGCACCCTGCAGAATGCTCCCTAAAGAGTCAGCAGGCACTCTTGAGTCCCAGGCAGTAGCATCAATGCCCTCGGTTGGGGTCAGGCAGTATTGTAGTTCGTGGATTCAGCGAGTGGATGATTATTCTGTGATCATTCCGCAGGTGTTCACTGTTTCCCCCGTGGCGGGCCGTGTTTCTTTTTTGGTCACCGAGTATTTGAGAGTGAGGTCAAAGTAAAGCTCCCCCGTCGCCCCCACCCTCTGAGTCACGCCAAGTTCGGGGGCTCTGTCCCTCCAACCTCTGCCCACGCCTCCCCTCATGGTCCCTCCCTTCTCCTCCCTGGCTGTGAGTTTCTCTGCGTGGACAGAAGTCACCGGCGTGTCTCAGGTCAGGAGAGACGGCTGAGCACCGACCTGCCCTGAAGGCGTAGGACCACGGATGGTGGTGCGTGCAAGACGCACGGACACAGGGCAGAAGAGGAACCCAGAGGGGAATTCACATGGAAACACAGGACGCATGAGCCCAAGTGGGCGCCAGAGAATCAAATAGCTGGTGCAGTAGCACACCCAGAGTCGGACGCACGGCAACCCTCACACCTTTCCATGCAGATACACAAGGGCTGGAAAAACATACAGATGGCGTGCAACACTCGCCTGGAGGGCTTGTTCAGGGATCGTAGCCAGAAGGGAGTCCCCGGGGAAAGCAGCGTTGTGCCTGTTCTCTGGCTTCTATGGGTGCTGGGCATGGATTTGCCCTTGCGGTCCTGCGGCCCCGGGGTCTTCTGTGCAGGAACCCCTACTTCCAGGGCGCAGCACGGCCCCACCCACGGATGGAGCCAAGTGCCCATGTGGGCCTTTTGCCACAGAACCTGCTGGAGGGACTGGCTGGTTTCTTCTCGGCCTGCAGTCCCCAGGTTGGCAGAATCGCCTGGGAGTTTATTTAATCAAATGATGCTCCCTTGGTGCCTGATGCTCACCTGTGCAGCTCTGGGCTGGGGCCCGGGGTTTGACAGCAGACAGGTCACTGGTGATGCTGGATGCAGCAGCAGGTCCAGGGGCACCGCCTCCTACATGCATCCCTTTGCAAAAGGCGGGCAGAATCTTTAAAACACGGGCATTGGGCAGGACTCACTACACTGTGCTGGAGAGGGGAAAACGGCGTGGTGGATTGAGACACTTCCTCAGAGTGACCATGTTTGCTTGGACGCTTTCTGCATTGCGTATAAAGCTCTATTCCAGCAAGTGTCCATGGTGAATTTCCAGCTAAATGTGGATAATTTGGCTCCATGCAGAGAGGCAGGCAGCTGGCTGGAAGGGCATGAACCTCAGTGCTTTGTCCACTTGGGGCAGGTTGGAAATTCCAGAGGAGGGAGGGACCACCCCACCGTAACCAGGAGAAGCAGCTCTGTGGGTTGTGGGGCCTCTGTCATCTCATCGGGGAAGGATGATACTCCTTCCAGGGACAGAGAGCTTTAAGGGGGGAAATAGGGAGGGAGTTTATGTTTAGCTGCTTTGTTAGAATAATATATACAATAAAGTGTTATATTTAAAAAGTTCAAGATGTTTGACATAGGTGTCCATCTGTGAAACCACCACTAGAATCAAGATGTTTGACATAGACATCCATCTGTGAGACCACCACTAGAATCAAGATAGAAAACACACCCTTGACCCTCAAACGTTTCCCTAGGCCTTTGTAGTCCCTTCCTTTCATTCTCCCATCTCGAATTTCATGTAAATGACATCATGCAATAATATGTATCCCCTTTTCTGACTGGCTCCTTTCATCCAGCAAAACCACTTTGAGACTTACCCGTGCTGTGCATATCAGTTGCTCATTCCTCATTCCTTTTTCATTGCTGAGTAATATTCCGTTGGGTGGATATGCCACAGCTTGCTCATCTGTGGACCCATTGTGGACCTGTTGACGAACATCTGGGCTGTTTCCAGTAGAGCTTCTGGGAGCGTTCCTGAACAAGCCTCTGTATGGACATGTGCTTTCATTTCCCTTGAGTAATGTCTAGAGGCAGAATGTTTTAGTTGGGACTGCTACAACAAAAACACCATCTACTTGGGGCTTAAACAACAGACGTGTATTTCTCAGAGTTCTGGAGGCTGGGAAGTCCCAGATCAAGGTGCTGGCTGATCTGGTTTGCAGTGCAAACCCTCTTCCTGATTTGTAGATGGATGCTACCTTTGTCCATTTTGGCTGTTAGAACAAAATGCCACAGACTGGGTGGTTATTGTACACAGAAACTTACTGGGACTTCCTTGGCAGTCCAGTGGTTAAGACTCTGCCCTTCCAATGTGGGAGGCTTGCGTTCCATCCCTGGTCAGGGAAGTAAGATCCCACATGATACACAGTGCAGCCAAAACTGGAAGGAAAAAAAAAATGTTTTTATGAATGAGTATTAAACTTTACCAAGTGCCTTTGAGACATCCAGCAGATATGATATTTAAAAAAAAAAAAGAAAAGCTTATTGCTCACAGTTCTAGAGTCTGGTAGTTGGAAATCAGAGTGCCAGCAAGGCCAGGTGAGGGCTTTTTCCAACTTCAGACTTCTCCCCTGGGGGGAGGGGCTAGAGTCACTGCAGCCTCTTTTATAGGCACGAATCCCATTCATTTCATCAGGAATCCTCCCTCCTGGCTGAAGCACCTCCCAAAGGCCTTGCCTTCTAACACCATCACTTTGAGCATTAGAATTCGAACAAGTGAATTTTAAGGGGATGCTAATATTCAAAGGTCTTCCTTGGTGTCTCAGACAGTAAAGAATCCACCTGCAATGCAGGAGACAGGGGTTCAATCCCTGGGTTGAGAAGGCCCCTGGAGAAGGAAATAGCTACCGACTCCCATATTCTTGCCTGGAGAATCCCATGAACAGAGGAGCCTGCCAGGCTTCAGTCCATGGGGTCGCAAATAGTCAGATACAGACTGAGTGACTAACACTTTCACTTTAAACATTCAAACCACTGCAGACTCCTTGCAGTGTCCTCACGTGGCAGAGAGGGGAAGGAAACCCTCTCAAATCTCCTTACGAGGGCACTAATTCTGGAGCGCTTATCTAGACCATCTCAATTCCTGAAACTGAGGGGCTGGGGGGGGGGAGGGAACGAAGCCTTTTAAAAAGTTATTTCAATTGTTATTTACAATTAGTTTTATGTTGTGACATCTGATTCAAGGCTAGGTTTAGGAAAGAAGCGAGGTCTCTCGTTGTGTCTGTCTGAAGGGCTTCCCAGGCGGCTCAGTGGTAAAGTAACTGCCTGACAACGCAGGAGACGCAGGAGGTGTGGGTTTGATCCCCGGGTTGGAAAGATCCCCTGGAGGTGGTGATCACAACCCTCTCCAGTGTTCTTGCTGGAGAATCCCATGGACAGAGGAGCCTGGCGGGCTGCAGTCCCTGGGGTCACAGAGTCGGTATGACTGACTGAGCGTGCACAACCCCATCGAGAGGGCTCCACGTTCATGACCTGGTCACTCACAAAGGCTCCGTCCGTGAAAGCATCACGCTGAGGATTAGTGTTTCGACACGCACGTTCTGGGGGACACCAACATTCAGAACATAGCAATACACATATACTTAACTTTTTATGAAACTGCCAAGCTGTCCCAGTGTGGTTACACCAGTTTATGTTCCCAAGAGAGGTGGAGGGACTGCTCCACGTCCTCACCAGCCCTGGACGCGGTCAGCTCTTCTTATTGTCGCCCTCTGAATGGGCGTGTAGTGGTATCTTACTATCGTTTAATTCACATTTCTCGAGTAACTCAGGGTATTTAGTATCTTTTCATTAGCTTAACTTATTTGCCATCAGCATATTGCTTTAGTGATCTGTTCTGTTCGAATCAGTTTTTAACTGGGTTGTTTATTTTCTGATTGGTGGGTTTTGGCAGTTCTTTTATATATTCTGGGTACCAGTCTTTTTATCAGATAGGTGATTGGCAAAGTGTTTTTTTTCCCCTTGTCCGTGGCTCATTTTTTCATTCTCTTAATAACTGTCTTTCCAACTTCAGTTGTTTTTGAAGTTCAGTTGATTAATTTCTTCTCACATGGACTATATCTTTCGTGTTGTATCCAAGACCCTGTGCCTGACCCACAGCCCCCCAAATTTCCTCCCGTGTTGTGTCCCAGCACCCCGTCCCTCCTGAGCACTGCCCTCCGCTGTCTTCCAGGCTTTGGGAACCATCACTGCAGTGCCTGTCATCGGTCCTCAGGTCAGCTCCTTGCAGAGGTTGGCCGGGCAAGGAGCAGCAGTGCTACCTCAGGTGAGCGGCCTGCAGCGGGCCCTGGGGTGTCTGTCTGTCTGTCTGTCCACAGCCCCTCAGCACTGAGGTTTTAGGTGCAACCACAAGGGAGTCCCTTTCCTCTCGTGCCTCCTCTGCCCACCCTCCAGAGCAGACGTTTGGACTAGACCCCACTTTTCACACACGGAAGAACTGAGAAATCAGTTTAGTGGGTCATGACTAGGATTTTTTTTTAATGGAATAAACTATGCTTGACTAGAACAGAGCAGACGCATCAGAAGCACTGTTTTGTGGGCAGAGTTTGTTTCCAGACTGGATCACGATGTAATGAAGACTCTTGAGTATGGACCACGGCCTGAGGAGCTCTGGACCAGCAGGTGCATTTGGGAGACACTGGGCCAGGAGCCCCCGGCTCCAGTCTGGGGCTCCCGAGACTGGACTCTGCAGTTTGGACGAGTCGACTGACCTGTAACCTTGCTGGGCAGAGTCTCCTCTTCTGCAGAGGGGGTGCCGGTGCCTCCCCAGCCTTGAGGGCTGAATCGGGACACAATAGCCTTTGTAGCTGGGCCAGGTCTGGAGCAGAAGCCTGCTGGTGGGGACTCAGCTTAGTGGGGCACCTGCTGCTGAGCTGTGAGGGGCTGCCAGCTGCCTAGGTGATGCCAACTCCTGGCTGTGCTGGGGCTGCAGGCTGCACAGACGCCCTCAGCCGGAGCCCAGTGAGGGGCAGGGGCCCCGGCCCTCTTGTCCTCGTGGCAGTCCCTCTGAATGCCTGCCTGTGCTGAACTCGCCGGGATCTTGTCCCTAGCAGGCTCGGATTCCAGGAGGGGGAGAGACAAGGAGTCAAGACGCTGTGAACCCAGAGCGATTGCCCTGAGTCAGGAGGATTCCCAGGGTGCTGTGGGAATAGCACCTCATAGCCTGCCTGAAGGTCAGGGCGGGCTTCCTGGAGGAGGTGGTGCCGGAAGCAGGTCCCAGGTCTCTACACCGCCATCCTGTCTCCTCTAACACTGGGGTCCGTGAGCCAGGTCACGTCCCTGCCCCTGCTCTGGAGTCTTCCCCAAGTCCTGGCTCTGCTCAGGACTGCTCTTCGGCCGGGCCTGTCAGCACCCCTGTGCTGTCTGTCTGACCGTGTCTGTCTGTCTGTCTGACCGTGTCCCTGTCCCTCCCTTCCCCAGGTTAGGCCAAAGACTCTGATCCCAGACAGCCTCCCCGTCACCCCGGGCCGGGACCGGCCACCCAAGCAGCCCCCAACATTCCAGAAGGCCACCGCGGTCAGTATCAAGAACCCCAGCCCCGCGCTCCCCACCGCCAACAACACCGTGAGCCATGTGCCAGCGCCCGGCAGCCAGCCACGGGCCCTGCCCGAGCCCGCCACCGTCAGCTCTCTGAGCGGCGCCGGGGTGGCCTACGCCATCATCTCCGCCGCCCCCAGCAATGCCGCGGCCATGGCCCCCAGCGCCGCCATGGCCCCCAGCGCCGCCGTGTCCGTGGCCGGCGACAGTGTCCAAGTCCAGCCCCTCCTCGTCCGCGCGGACAGCAAGGTGAGGGCGGGCTCCCCGCGGGGCCGGGCAGCGTGAGTGACCGGACGGCGGAATGACCAGTGGCCGAGCGAGTGGATGGAGTGAGAGCGGAGGGGCGAAGGGACAGCGAGACTGAAGCGATCAGTAAGGGAGCGAATGGGGCTGGGGTTATAAATGAAGGAACGAGGCTTGGTAGGATGAATGGTGTATGACTGAGGGATCGAGGGAATGAATCGGTGCGGGAAGAAGGTGGGGTGCAAGGGAGTGAATACGTGAGTGGAAGACTGTGTGGCTAGGGGCTTTCCAGGTGGTGTGGGGGGCACGGGTTCGATCCCTGGTCGGACTCTTAAGATCCCGCATGCCTTGCGGTGTGCACACCCCCCCCCAAAAAAGGAAAAAAAAGACCGTGTGGCTGAATGAATCAATACCCATGGGAAAAGAATAATGCCTCGACGGATGAAGTATTTCATTCGTTGGAATGATTAACTAGCTAATAAAATGTGTGGCTGAGTGGGTGGCTGGGAGAGTCCCTGCTGATGGAGGGAGGGAGTCGAGGACTTTCTAGGCCCCGGTTGCCGCCTCTGTGATTCCCCCCTCCTCATTCCTCTATGATCCTGCAATTCCAGGCCCCGTTCCCGAAGTGGGTGGACACACCTGGCCCCCATTTCTGCAGCCCTGCCCGCGAGGGCCCCTCCAGCTCCCCCTCACCCCTCCACCCCGTCTTCCAGGTCATCATCATTCAGTCTCAAGTGCAGCCGCAGCCCGAGAACACCGCGGAGTCGCGGGCGCCCACGGAGGAGCCGTCTCGGGGGTCTCAGGCCAGCCACAAGAGGAAGGAGGAGCGGCCCCCGAGCCAGGAGAACCCCGAGGTGGGTGGCGGTGGTCTGGGGGCCGCTGTAGGACGTGCCCCGCAGGGGCTGGGGCGGGAACTGGCCCCGTGAGCTGAGGTCCCGCTGTTTCGTGTCCCAGTCTTGCCTGCTGAGGGGCCGTGTGGGGCAGTGGTGAGCTCCAACCCTGGACCAGTCTGCCTGGCTTGGCCTCCCAGCTTGGGAGTGCTGTGGGCAGAGGGCATCACATCTGTTTCCTCATCTGTGAGATGGGAGGGGTGAGTCTGCCTTCCCGGCAGCGTTGTTGGGAGGATCCCACAGTCTGTGTCCACTGAGGTCCTGGAAGCATGTCTGGGCGCTTCTGGCTGTTACCCCACACCCCCGAGCCTGGCTGTTCCCCCATCACGTCCCCCTGTCCTCAGGACCCCCCGTCCAGGGGACAGCCCTGCTCTTGGCAGCACGTGACCCTGAAGCAGTCCTGCTCCTCCCTCCACCCCACTGTTTACCGAACGACTGAAGGCAGCCCAGAAGGACCCTGCAGGCCTTAGAAGTCAACTGTTTATTGAACTTTTAGTCACAGCAGATGGCGTCCTTGTGTTCCCGCTGGCATCCTCAGCCATCCTGGGCCAAAATCACCCCCTCTGGGCGTTTTCCCTTGTGACTGCCCCTACCTGGCCCCCGTTCCTCTCCCTACTGACTGTGTTGTCTTACAAGATCACCTTCAGAAACCATCTCCTCCAGGCAGCCTTCCCTGACCACCTACCACCAGCAGACCCCTCTGGGCTCCTCCAGCTCCTTGTGGTTCTTTTTATCAGAGCGCTGACATCTAAAGAAGTCATTCATCCATTCATCCAGTCATCTGTTTGTCAATCACATCTCAGCCTTTGCTGCAAGCCAGGCTCTGGGCTGAGGGTGGGGACAGTGAGACAGGGCAGACGTAGTTAGTCTGAACATGAGGGAGGCTCACTCCTACCGCCAGACACAGGCACGGCCATTCGGACTTGAACCTGGGTTAGAATAAGTGGCCGGTGTTGTCAGAGAATTACAAGTTCTGAGCTGTGGGAGATCCAGGGAGAAGGAGGGCTTCCCAGGTGGCGCTAGTGGTAAACAGCCTTCCTGCCAATGATGAGAAATCAAGAACTGCAAGTTCGATCCCTGGGTGGGGAAGATCCCCGGGAGGAGGGCATGGCAACCCACTCCAGTATTCTTGTGTGGAGGGTCCCATGGACAGAGGAGCCTGGCGGGCTACAGCCTGTGGGATCGCAGAGTCAGACACGACTGAAGCGACTTAACACACAGGGAGAGGGAGAAGGCCTTGGAGGGGAGGGGTGTGGTCACCGGGCTGCGAACAGATAGGGTTTCGGGAGAAGAACGAGTGGCGGGGGATGGCATGTCAGCTGGAGGGCACGGCCCAGGCAGTCACGTGGACTTGCGGAAAGGACTCAGCACACCCTGGAAAGTCAGCCAGTCTCTTTGGACCCTGGGTAGCACATGTGGGTGAGAATTTCTGAGAATGTTCTTCAGTCACTCAGTTGTGTCCGACTCTTTGCGACCCCATGGACTGCAGCAGGCCAGGCTTCCCTGTCCCTCTCTATCTCCCGGAGTTTGCTCAAACTCATGTCCACTGAGCCAATGATGCTACAGAGAACTTCTCGACATGGGATTAAAGATGGACGTCGGAGGCTGATTCTGGAAGACCCGGATGCAGGTGGCCAAGGAAGAACTTCATTCCTTGGGTAGTAGGGAGCCATGGAAAGTCTTTGAGCAGGAGAGTGACTTGGTTATCATCCTGGGACACACCCAGAAAGTCTGCTGGGAATTGGCAGAGTGGACTCCTCACCACGGTTGAGATGCAGCCAGTCTGCTCTGAGGCTGCAGGCCCAATCTTGTCTCGAGAGAGACAGTCCGTTCTGTTTGGTGGCAGTGAATGAGCACCTACTGTATGCGAGGTGGGGCTGAGGGGCCGGGTCGCAGCTCAAGTTCCCATGAGCACCCTTCTGTCCTCCGATGGGTTCTCTGCCTCCTTCATATTCAGGAAGGTTTTCTGGGTGGCATCGCTTTGTTCTTTCAAAGTATATCTTAGTCAATTATTGTGCATTTATACAATTAGTATAATTACATCTAACTACATAATTAGCGTAAATACATGTAATGACTTAAATAGAACTTGCAATTACAACACGTCCTGGTGTAAAAATCCTTATTAAAGTTGCTTTTAGAAGAAGGCTGGAGCCGTTGTGTTGCACAGACGCAGGCTTCCCAGAGGCCTTTGAACCTGTTTGTGAAGAACCTAAGTCAAGAGTGCTGGAGGCCAGAGCAGCAGCTGCCCCAGAAATGTCCCTGGATGTGCCAGTTATGGACTCGGGGGGCCGGGGGTGGGCGTGGATTGGGGCTAAAGAGACACCGACCGGGGCTGGTAAGGCTCAGCTCTGTGGTGGCTTCCAGGGCAGTGGCTGTTGAGGTCCCAGTGTCTGCACACCCCGCATGCACACTGTCTTTGGAGCCCACGGCTGCCTGTGAGGTGAGCTGGGCTCGGGCACACGACGCGACAGCATTCACACAAGGCATGGAAGGGACCCGGGGCAGTAACACCCCGCTTCCCTGCCGAGTGACCCTCCATCACTAACCATGCTTGCTCCCCTCCTCGCCCGCATCCTCTCAGCTGCTCTGAGAGGTGGATGGGGCAGAAGTGACAGCGTTCACCGTACAGATGAGACGGGCTCAGAGAGGTCGGCGTGTCCGCGGTCACCCAGCTGTGTGCTCAGCCGGGACGGACCCTGGACGCCTGGCTCCTGCCCCAGGCTCGGCCGGTTCCATCTTGTCCCAGAGTCCCTGGCTTCCTCGGGACAGAGCCTGGCCTTTTCTGTGCTACTCGTTTCCCTGGCCCTGGGCAGCATCTGACCAAACTGGTCACTCTTAGATTAGTCTGTGCCCCATGGAATGGCAGCTACAGCAGGAGTTCTGGCCCTGTTCCAGCCTGGCCCCAGCCATGGCCACAACCTCAACCCCAGCCCTGGACAAACCCCAGTCACAGCCACAGTCCTGGCCATAGACACAATCTCAGCCGGATCACAGCCCAGGCCACAACCCCAGCCCCAGTCCAAACCACACCCCAGGCCACACCCCCAGCCCCAGCCGCGGCCACACCCCCAGCCCCAGCCTAGGCCATACCCCTAACCACAGCCTAGGCCACACCCCCAGCCACAGCCATGGCCACACCCCCAGCCCGAGCCCAAGCCACGCCCCCAGCCACAGCTGGGCCACCTGTCTGGGCAAGACCCATGCACTTGGATGCTCCTTCCTTCCCTGCCACTCCTGCTGCCACAGCCCCCGTCCCTGCCTCCCCTCTGCCCAGGCTCCCAGCCCCTAGACAGTTCTTCTCTGCAGCCAGAAGGATCTTTCTACAATTCACCAGAAATAACAAAGTCACCCCCCCTTGTTTTTAAAAATGTTTTCCAGCTTTATCGAGATGTAATTGGCATATAACCTTGCATAAGTTTAAGTGCACAACATAATGATTTGAGATACGTATATGTTGCAACAGGAGCACCACAGTAACTGCAGTTAGCATATCCATTGTTACCTCCACGGTTATTTACTTTTGTGTGATGAGCACTTACTTTTCAAATCTACTCTCAGCAGCCTTCACATTTACAGTAGGGTACTGTTAGCTTTAGTCACAAGTACATTATTTATTGTAAAACTGGAAATTTGTAGTTTGTGATCACTGTCACAGCCCAGAGGAGCGAAGGAGACAGGATGACTTATGTCTTGTGGGATCCTGGAAGAGCGAAAGAGCATTAGATAAAAACTAAGGAAACCCCCAAATAGAAAAGGTGGGCTAACCCTTCTCCGTTGCCTTCCCTCAGAAAATCGCCTTCATGGTTGCGCTGGGCCTGGTGACGACGGAACACCTGGAAGGTGAGGACCCTCGCGGTGGGGCTGGGCCTGGCTGTGGGGTGGGTGGGTCAGCTGGCTGACTTGGCATCAGACGGAAGCAGTGGGTCTCAGGTTCCCTGTCAGAAGTGACCCACCTTCCGCGAGGTCGGTGCCGAGTGCCTGGCTGTCATCACCGAGACCAAGGAGCCCAGCTGCTCTCCCAGCTTGACTCTGGACAGAACCCTCTCTGTGTCATTGGAGGGACTTTGTGGCTTCCCTGCCCCCCAGTTGGAGGCAGCACCATGAAGTGATAAGATCGGGGTGCCCAGCTCTGCCATGACTGACAGCTCAAGCTTGGGCAAGTCACCCAGCTCCCCTGGGCCTTAGTTTCTCCATCTGTAAAATGGGATAATAGCCAACTCTTCCTCCTTTGATTCTTGGATAGAACCAAGCGGAGCAGCAGCCACCTCCCCTTCTGTCAAGTTGACCTGTGGGCTCTTGTCCGCCCCCAGACAGGTCGGTGGAAATCAGCACATTGAGTAGACAGGTCAGCATGACACTTAGAGGTGTTGTTTGACTCTACCGATGAGAGCAGCTACAGATGAGCTCTGGGCATCGTCATAGAATCTCGGGGCCTAGGAAGCAGAAAACCAACCTTCTCGTGGCACGTGTGGGGAAGCGGAGGCCAGAGAAGTTGATTCACTTGCTCAGGGTCACACAACTAGTCACTGTCTGGCCCAGGATGGCATCCAGGTCTCCTGACTCGCAACCCAGAGTGTTTTTCCACAATTCCAACCTCACTGCTAAAGACATTTTATAAAGTGAGAACACCCCCTGCACCCCAGGAAGACCTGGATTCAGGAAGGAAAACTAGATTGCTCTTCCTTCTTAAAACTGAGGGACGGAAGGGAGTGAACTGAATACCCCAGTGCCCGAGGCACTAACCAGCTCTCATCTCGGGAAGTTTCTCTCCAGGACAGCACATGAAGCCAGGGGGAGGGAAGGGCCTTGGTGAGGTCACCCCGTGCCCGGCCGAGTCTAGGTGGGTGGGTCCAGGCCTTTCCACGGCAGCTGGGGTGTAGGTGGTGGGAAGGGACAGGGGCATGGCCCGGCCACTCAGATACCCTGCTACATGGACCTGACCCCAGTGGGAATGTCCCATCCGAGGACCCCTCCTCTCGTGGCCCCCCTTGCCTTCTTGGAAGGAGCTCTGTCAATGTCTGAATCCACCTGCTTGAACTTGAGTGTAGGGAATCTGACTGTGAGTGGCGGCCTTTGAGAGCTGTTTCTGCTCTGTCTTTGGGGCCGTGGAGGCAGCCTGGGCCAGTGGAATTAGCCCCAACAGTCATGTCAGAAGTCCCGTGTTCAAGTCCTGGCCTTGCTGCTTAGAGCTGGGCGACCTTGCGCCAACTCCTTCCCCACTCGGAACCTCAGTCTTTTCATCTATGACATGAGGAAAACCACTTCCTCGGACTTTGCAGGGTTGTCGTGACGACTGAGCTAAAAGCCCTCTGCAAATCTATTTGCGAGTGTTATAATTTGTATAAACAGTCCTCATTTTGCAAACTCTGCTCCCTCCTGCCTATGATACCCCAAATATTTGTGTGTGTGTTTATTTGGACCCTAACTTGTTCCGCAGAGGGTCTGAGATGCCTTATGGGACACACACGAATAATATTGGGACAGTTTCAAAGGAGAAATCAGATCTGAGAGAACAAAGACTAGGATATAAAGTCAAAATAGCTACAGACAGAGAGACAGGGCCCACCTGGCAGTCAAAGCAAAAGGGAGAAAGAAAAAGGGAGGGAAAACCCAGTTCTCAAACTGCAGGAGGCTCACCACGCCAGGCCCCATAGGGAGGACTGTGTTTATTGTCAAGAGGGCCGGGCTGGCTGAACTGAGCGGGCACCTGCCTTCCCAGGAGCCCTCAGCCTCACTCTGAAGCTCAGTCTGGACACAGTCTGACCATCAGGCACCGGCTGTCCTAAGGGTCCCAAGAGAGACGTCCCCAGGCCAGAGTATGGTACTGGAGAATGGCACATGGGGCTGTGCTGAGAGCGGGTGCCTGGACTCTGGGCATCCCCCACCCTCTGCCCAGTCCGTCCTTCATCCTGAGGCCAGCAGCTCTGTCCTGCCTCAGAGCGAACAATTCCAGAGCCCCCAGCCCACTCAGGGCCACTCTGGGGCCCAGATGCTGGGCAGAGAGGCTACGGGGCAGAAGGCGGTGCCCAGGGTTCGTAGAGGAAGCATCCAGGGTTCCCAGGGCAGGAAGACTGCCATAACCGCTGCATCTGGGCCTTTCCAGAGATCCAGAGCAAACGCCAGGAGCGAAAGCGGAGAAGCACAGCCAACCCCGCCTACAGCGGCCTCCTGGAGACAGAGGTGAGGGGCCCGCCACCCGCACACCTGGCAAGGGGTTGGGGGGAGGCTCCCCGGGGCTGGCCTCACCTGCCCCTCCAGATTAGAGCTCAGGGCGTACAGTGAACAGCCCTGACCTCCTGGGTTCAGAATCTGGTGAGAGACAGGCAGAGGACCGCTGTGTCAGTGGCTCCTCAGGCGGGCTGCCCCCGGGCTGGGGCTGGATGCGGATGGCGGCCGGCTCCCTTTCTTCGTCCCGATGATCCGGCACGAGGTCTGGTCGCAGGCAGCGCTGACCCCTGGTCCTCCTGGGACCCCACGGGCCCAACCGGAGCCCGGCCGGCTCAGCCCAAGCTCCTGACTCAAGAGAGACCACAAAGAGGAGGGCCTGGGCGGGGCTGGGGCTGAGCGAGACTGGGGAGAAGGGTTGGCTGGAGGCGGGGAGGGAGTGGCCGTGACTTCACTGAGTCCCCCCTGTGGGCAAGGAGAGACTGGGCCTAGCATGCCCGCCTCCCCTCCCCCTGAGCCCTAGGTCCCTTCACGAAGCTCTGACTGCTTCTCCATGATGGGCAGCGTGCACTCCCCTCGGATAGCCGAAACTGGTCAAATAGGGTGTGACAGTTAACTCCGAGGGAGGGAATGCCCCCTTCATCCAGATCCCATCCAGCACACCACCCACCCCCAACCCGAGGTCGGCTGCAGCCCTAGTAGGAGGTGATGAGAGTCACCAAACGCCCGTCGGCGATGCCGTTTAAGGACGCAGCCCAGGGAGCACCCGGCCCCTCCCAGCATCGCCTTCCCAGGGAGCAACCGAATCCAAAATGGGATCGCCTTGCCCGTGCACATCAGAGTCCAGAATTCTCAGCTTGAATCCAGATGTCATCTCCTAGAAACCAGGTCTGCTGGGGCTGCAGATGCTCTGGGCTTTCCTGCAAAAAACGCCTTGGAATCTTGCCCTGAAAGGGAAGCTGTTTCATGAGGGCCCTGGAGTCAGGTGGCCCCCCTGAAGTGGAGCCAAGTTTTCAGAGCCCCAGGCCCTGGCGCATTGAGGAGGCCAGTGAAGCCCTGTGGGGCCCGGAGGAGGACAGGAAGATGCTGCGCTTGCTTCCCTCGGGGAATTCTTGAGTTGGGGCCAGTTGTCCCACATCTGCAGCTCACAAGCTGGACCTCACCAGGAGGGGACGCCCATGGGTGCCCTGTGGGGAAAGCACGCTGTGTCTCTGTCGCCTGCTCCCCAGCCCACCTGCCTGTCCTCGCTGGTACCCTCCCGACTCCCGCTCAGCACACACGCGTGTTCACACCCGCTCACTTCCCCCTGACTTCCTGAGCACGCTGTGCCCTGAGGCAGTGCCCTGAGTGCTGGTCCCCATTTATGAGAGGCACCAAGCTGTTCCTCCATCTCCAGCCACGGAAACGGCACGTCCTCTGTGCAGGACGGGCACCGTCCCCTTGGTTGTGCTCACGATGTGTGCGCCCCCTGCTCTGGGGGCCAGGCCATAACCTCGTCTCCGAAGTCTGTGGCCTTGGCCGGAAATGACCTGTTTAGCGAATCAGGAGCTGATGCAAAGCCCTGTGACCTTGAGCGCTGACACACACGTGGCTCTGTGGATCTCTCTCGACCTGAACGCAGCCCAAACATGTTGAGAGAGACGGATTTACCACCCATCATTCAAGTCTACAGCCATCATCTTGCCACAGCCAAAGCCGCCTTGAACCACCAAGGTCTGAACCCACATGGCCTGTCGTTGCTAAAGCCCAGGACTGAAGTTACCTTATGGAATGTACTGGAAACTTCTTCCATTTACATGTGATGAGCCAAGGGCCACTCTTTGTTGTCAGCTTCCTGGATGTCAGGCTAAGAAGTGGGCTTTGGGGAGCCAGTCCCTCTTGTGCCTCGTTTCCCCACCTGAGCCCAGAAGCTGCTGAGAAAGAAGGCTCAGGAGGCAGACGGATGGACGGCCAGATGTCCACTTCATTACTGATTTGCCCCACCGGGATATCTCTAGCCGTCCTTCCTGAAAGAAGCAGGAGTGATCACGGGAGCCGCGATGGCCCTGTCGGGCAGAGCCTTTGCTGGCTTTTGCCCTGGCTGACCTGCCTCTCCCCTCCCCCACGCTCACGTTTGTCCCCGTTTCTGCCCCTGGTCTCGGGTGTCCGGCTGGAGTCCAGAGCCCAAGGTGGGGAGACCGTCCCAGGTGAGTCCTGGGCCGGGTCCGTGTCAACCGAGGAGGGCCCCCTGTCACTCAGTTTGGTTTTCTGTCTCTGCAGAGGAAGCGACTGGCGTCCAACTATCTCAACACACCCCTGTTCCTCACAGCAAGAGGTAAGCGCTTCTCCGGCAGGGCGGCTGTGGGGCTGGGCTGGGCCACACCTCCTTGCGCGGGCCGCCGCCTGGCTACCCGGCCTGCCCTGTCTGCAGCCCCGGCTGGACAGCTGCTCTCCAGTAGGCAGCACACCACAGCTCCCCGGGCCCTCCGCGCCCCGCTGCCCTCACGCTCACCTGGCACATTACCTCCCTGAGCCTCGGTTTGCTGGTCTGTGTAAAACCAGCCCTTGACAGTGCTGGCCTCTCAGAGCTGGGCCAGGGACAGCAGGGTGAACGTCACAGCACTGTGTAACTGTCGAGTGCGGTGCACACACAGGAGCTGTTCTTCCCACTCGACAGTATAATTTCCAGAAATCAGAAGGAAAACTATTTTTGAGATCATTAAATTATGTGGTTTGGTCATCCCTCACTGGAATGGAAGTGGGTTATGGTTGGAAATGAATTGACAGTGAGTCACTTTGAGGGGTCCCTAGAGCAATGTTTTCTCCACTGGACAGCTCACTGCTGTCATGTTCCTCAGGGAGCTTAGGGGCCATGATGAACCTCTTTCTTGATGGGTTCTGGCCATGACCAGGGCAGAGACTTTACTCCCACGATGCTCTGGGTGAGGACCCAGGAGTCAGTGGGGCCTGAGATACTCCCAGCATGCCCCTGGTGAGGGCCCAGGAGTCACTGGGGCCTGAGATACTCCCAGCATGCCCCTGGTGAAGACCCAGGAGTCACTGGGGCCTGAGATACTCCCAGCATGCCCCTGGTGAGGACCCAGGAGTCATTGGGACCTGAGATACTCCCAGCATGCCCTGGGTGAGGACCCAGGAGTCACTGGGGCCTGAGATACTCCCAGCATGCCCCTGGTGAGGACCCAGGAGTCATTGGGACCTGAGATACTCCCAGCATGCCCTGGGTGAGGGCCCAGGAGTCACTGGGGCCTGAGATACTCCCAGCATGCCCCTGGTGAGGACCCAGGAGTCATTGGGACCTGAGATACTCCCAGCATGCCCTGGGGGAGGACCCAGGAGTCATTGGGACCTGAGATACTCCCAGCATGCCCTGGGGAGGACCCAGGAGTCATTGGGACCTGAGATACTCCCAGCATGCCCTGGGTGAGGGCCCAGGAGTCACTGGGGCCTGAGATACTCCCAGCATGCCCCTGGTGAGGACCCAGGAGTCATTGGGACCTGAGATACTCCCAGCATGCCCTGGGTGAGGACCCAGGAGTCACTGGGGCCTGTGATACTCCATCATACCCCTTACACACTGGGCTTTGTGGACTCTAGTCCTGATCGGTGCTCCCCATGGCCACTAACATGTTCTCCGCCCTTCTTCCCTGTGCTAGCCAATGAGGACCCCTGCTGGAAGGTACGTGTCCCTTGGTCTTCACACCTGGGTGGGTGGGACATGCTTTCCATAGCGCCCAGGTAGGTTCACTCCTGGCAAGGGACCGGAGCCCCAGTGTCCTGCTGCTGTGAAGTGGAGCGGTGGGTCTGGGCCCCACCCTCGGTGCTGAGGGCTTTGTACGGCACCAGTCCACTTTCCAGCCGGCCCCACAGAGCCGGGCATCGCCACAGGGCTCAGCCCACAGTTCAAGCAGGAGCCCTCCGGACGCAGGGGCCCCTGGAGCTGTGACAGCCCACAGGGCAGCAGCCGATGCTGAGGGCCAGGGGGTTGTCTGGCCCTCACTGGTCCTCGTTCCCCACCTCATTAGGGACTGGACTCAGGTCTCAGGGTCCCACCCCATACACCTACGTCTCCGTGACCCTCTGAAACCCCACGCAGCACACACACCACGCCGCTGCTTCCCAGGGTGTTTGCTGAGCTCTTCACAGTTTATTCACTGTTTTCTTTACTAAGTTTCAGATCCGATTCTAAATTTCTGGTCCCTTTGTGCCACAGTAAGCCACCAAAAAGCAACATGTGATGACATTTCCATTAGACCATGTTGTTTGCAGCCCTAACCCTGTGGTGTCGTGCGTCCATGCCGGCGCGGGTAACGTTTGTCCACAGCCACCCTGTGCCTGGGCAGCCAGGGCATGGGGACCAGAGGTGCCGTGAGCCTGAGTCCTGCTGCGTGGAGCCCACAGGCCTGGGGGCCTTGGCTTTGAGGCAGGAGACGGTGATGCTCCTCCTGGTTTGCGGGCCCGCGCTCACCTCGTTATCCCCTGTCCTCGAGGCTTAGTCCTCTCTCCCAGAGCTGCTGAAAACCCTGGCGGAAGAGCTGGGTCCCAGGCAGGTCGGGGTGGCAGCTACTTGCCCCCCGCCTCTACTCCCAGTCCACTGACCCGCCTCCCACCCTCCCATCTCTTCCAGAATGAGATCACCCACGATGAGCTCTGTGCTGCCTGCAGGAGAGGGGCCAACCTGCAGCCCTGTGGCACGTGCCCAGGGGCCTACCACCTCAGCTGCCTGGACCCCCCCCTGAAGACAGTGCCCAAGGGCGTGTGGGTGTGCCCCAGATGCCAGCAGAAGGTATGGGAGGCTGTGTCCGTATGTGGGTGACCCGACCCTCACCCTCTCCCTGAACTGCAGGGCCCTCCCTCACCGGCACATCATCTAAGGCTGCTTAAACCATCCCTGCTTCCTGGATCATCCCTACAGTGAGCAGAGACAGGGAGGGCCAGGCTGGGGCGGGGTGAGGGGCAGAGGGTGAGAAGAGGGGCTGGGTAGAGAACCAGGTTTTGCAACCTCAGCACAACTGACCTTTGGGACGGGATGATCGTTGTGGGGGGCTGTCCTGTGCGCCGTAGGGTGTTCAGTGGTGCTCCTGGCCTCTGCCCAGTAGATGCCAATCGTAGCCCCCATCATGGCCATCTCAGACACTGCCGGTTGAGGACCATGGGTGTATAGTGAGCAGAGGTGTCCCTCTGCAACTGACTTAGCGATTCCAACTTAGTGTACTGATAACACAAACCACAAAATATAGCACCAGGTAACACGTTAGAAAGTCGCTCAGTTGTGACCCCATGGACTATACAGTCCTTGGAATTCTCCAGGCCAGGATGCTGGAGTGGGTAGCTTTTCCCTCCTCCAGGGGATCTTCCCAACCCCGGGATCACACGCAGGTCTCCCACGTTGCAGGCGGATTCTTTACCAGCTGAGCCACAAGGGAAGCCCAGATCTTACTGATAGCAACATGCAAATGAAAAACCGTCAAGTTAGCAAAAATGGTAACATTCCCTTCTGGCAATGATGTGGTGAAATGAGCACTCTTAGACTTTGCCTTAGTAATGTGCACGCCTTTTAAACCTGGCGCCTTGCTTCGAGCAGAACCTATGGGACAGTTCAATGCACGAAAGTCCTCTGCGGAGAGAAGTTCCTCAGCTTTCCTTCATGAAAGGGAAGAAAATAGGGCAGTCTGGCTTCCCCGCAGAGAGTTGGTGAAGTAGATTCTGGCACTTTACTCAGAGAGATATTATGGGGTCACTGAAAATTATATTTCTTTACAAGGATTTGGGGATTCTTTGGGACTTGTTCACTATGTGGGATTACGTTTTTAAAAAATTTAAAAAAAAAACACAGGTTTTGTAGCTGCTGTTTTACTTTGATCATTAGCCATCTGACTGAGAAAAACAGGGTGCAGAATAGAAAACCTGGGCGAAAATACTTTCAGGTGTTAACATTGTGTGTGGCTGGGTGGTGGGAAATTTTAATGCTGTTCTAACAGTGCGCTTTTCTATAGAGTGTGTTACTTGTAAAATCATTGGGGAATCCTCTTTATTTCAATGAGGAAGCTTCTTTATTTCAAAGAACACTCTTGTTGAGTTCCCATTGTACTGGGTTTTGTGGGGACCTGAGCAGATGGGGGTGTGGCAGCCCAGAGAGCTCGTGCCCGTGCCCCTGTCCCCCCCTGGTCCCCCCCGCCCCAGGTTCCTCAGCCGGAGCGCGGCAGGCCCTGGGCTGTCCGCTGGCTCAGTCCCCCATCTGCCCTCCAGGCCTTAAAGAAAGATGGAGGTGTGCCCTGGACCGGGATGCTGGCCATCGTGCACTCCTACGTCACCCACAAGACAGGTGAGACACCCGGGCAACTGGGAAGGGGCAGCGACGCCCTTCTGTTCAACCCCGCCCTCGGACTGCTGGACTCACTGTGGGCCCAGCAGAGGCTGTTCTGATCCAAAGCTCTGGAAAGAGGGAGCCTGGGACTAATCCTGAGTGGACCCGGCAAGAGCCTCTGGCTCCTGCAGGAGGATGTGGCCAGAGTGACCTCTAGGGTCGGACCCAGGATTCTTCTTGCCTCTCCTGCTCAGCCTCGGCCCAGCCCCGGCTGACCTGCTGCTCCCCGTGGGGCCTGGGACCCAGGCCCTTTCCTAGTCCTCCCTCTTTCCTAGTCAAAGAAGAGGAGAAGCAGAAGCTGTTGCAGAGGGGCAGCGAGCTCCAGAGCGAGCACCAGCAGCTGGAGGAGCGGGACCGGCGCCTGGCCTCGGCCGTGAAGGTGTGCGGCGCGGGCGGGTCTGCCCTGGGGACCAAGGGCTGTCGCAGATCAAAGCGTTGCTCTCTGGCTGCTGAGGCCCCAGAAGAGGACGGACTCAGCAGTGTGGTTCCGGGGGTCAGCAGGTGGAGAGGGCAGCTCTGCGGCTCCGTAGACACATAGTTACCAAGCAGCCGGACGTCTGGCTCTGCTCCCTCTCAGCTCTGTGACCTCGGCAAGGCCCCATCCCTGAACCTCAGTTTCTTCTTGCATAAAGGGGACATGGTGGTTTCTTCTCTGTAGAGTGGTGGTAAATGGTGCTGATGGCGGTGATGGTGATGATGGTTGTAGTGATGATAGTGATGATGGTGAAGATGTAGTGACGGTAGTGGTACTGGTGGTGATGATGGTGGTGATGGTGATGATGATTTTGATGATGGTGCTGCTTGTGATGATGGTGGTGATGTAGTGATGGTAGTGGTACTGGTGGTGATGATGGTGGTGATGGTGCTTGTGGTGATGATGGTGCTGCTTGTGATGATGGTGGTGATGGTGATGATGGTTGTAGTGATGATAGTGATGATGGTGAAGATGTAGTGATGGTAGTGGTACTGGTGGTGATGATGGTGGTGATGATGGTGATGATGTAGTGATGGTAGTGGTACTGGTGGTGATGATGGTGGTGATGGTGCTTGTGGTGATGATGGTGCTGCTTGTGATGATGGTGGTGATGGTGATGATGGTTGTAGTGATGATAGTGATGATGGTGAAGATGTAGTGATGGTAGTGGTACTGGTGGTGATGATGGTGGTGATGATGGTGATGATGTAGTGATGGTAGTGGTACTGGTGGTGATGCTGCCTGTGGTGATGATGGTGGTGATGGTGATGATGGTGGTGATGGTGATAGTGATGACGGTGATAATGTAGTGATGGTAGTGGTGATGGTGATGAATTTGGTGGTGATGATGGTGGCAGCAGTGTCAGGCCCTGGTAAAACTCCTTAAATGTCATATTTCATTTAATCCTCTCAATAACTCTGTGAAGAGGCCCTATGATTATTCCTATCTTGGAGTTTTGGACACAACCTCAGGAAGTTGAAGTTACTTGCCTGAGCAGCAAATGATTAAAATTCTAACTACTTTACTGTGATGCCATGAAACCTGAAAGGCTAGAAAAAGCCGTGAACACAGCAGGCAAGAGAAAGAGCAGAGAACTGGCCAGCAAGCTCAAGGTCTTTCCGAGGGGCTGCAGTTGAGCCAGAGCAGGCTCCACGCTTCCTCCAGCAGGAGGAGGGAGCAGTGTGGTCAGCTGGGAGCCCCCCACCCGCAAGGGAGCACATTCCCACGTCCCTGCAGACACACACCATTTCCAGCCCTGAATTTTAAACCAACTTCTCCTGTGGATCTGACTGCCATTTAATTCCTTTTTTCGCTTCTGGCTGGGGTGTGAGGCCCTCTTCCTGGTTTCTTTCAGCCTCTGCGAGGGAAGGGAGGGGCTTTGGGAGAAGGGGTTAAGTGGTGGCTACCCCAGGGGCCTGCATTACTAAATGCTGACACCTTTCTCTCTGACACCTGCCCCGAACAGAAATGCCTGGAGCTCAAGACGAGCCTGCTGGCCCAGCAGAGGGGCACCCAGTCGTCCTTGGACCGCCTGCGGGCCCTCCTTAGACTGATACAGGGTGAGCAGATGCTCCAGGTCACCATGACGACCGCCAGCCCCGCCCCACTGCTGGCAGGGCCCTGGACCAAGCCCTCAACAGCAGCCATACACTCTGCTCTCCAGCACCCCCAGGGGCAAAACTGACCCCCGAGGAGCCCGTTTCACGCGCGGAAAGCCACTGGGACCCTGCTCGCAAGACCTGAGGGTTCTGTCAGCCTTAATTCATACACACTATGAATCTCAGACAAAACTAAGACCAGGAAAAGAAGGGCGGAGGAGCTGAGTGAGAGTCGGGATGGAGTCCTGCCCGCTTCCCGACAGAGGGGACGCCCGGAAGCCAGCTGGGGGTGCAGAGTCAGCTCCCCGCTGCCGGGGGTGCTTGTCCAGGCCTCCAGTTTCTGGGCACAGCTGTCTCCTCGGCCTTGAGTCACCCCCGCTCGAGAGAGCGGGGCCGAGGCGCCCTACGTGCTTGCGGGAGGGGAGCCGAGGACACGGCGTAGCTGAGTAGTAGAGATAGTTGGAGCGAGAGGTGGGTAGCAAATCTAGGTAGACTCTGCCATCTGCCCGCCCTCACGGGGCCGCCAGGCACGCACCAGGCCTTCCGGACGCCCGCCCCGTCGTCAGTGTTATTAGCGTTCAGAATCGCAGCTGTTTAACTCGAAGGATGAAGGACGCTCCGAGGGGTCGGATGCTGCTGTCGCCCGGCCTGCCTCTGTCTGGCCCCTGATCGCGGGGGCACCCTCGCCTCGCATCTCCTCCCACCTCTGCTGACTTTTTGGATTCATCTTGCCCTCGGTGTTTCTGGGCGAGATGGAGCTGCAGCCATGCTGGGGAGGCGTTTGGCAGGTTTTCCATCTGGGGTTGAATCGTTCACCCTAACGACCGAAGCCTTTTCTTTTCTCCTTTCGAAGAGCCGATAAGATATTCCGTTCCTCTTTTCTTGCCAGTACAGACACTATGCCAAAAAAATAACTTTACATTTTTGTACGGCGTTTTTATTGTGAGATAATTTAATGTGAAGGGGACTTGGTGACTTAGCTTCCCGCTCACCGGGGTCTCTGCTGCCAGGGATGAATGGAAGCCCCCTCGGATGGAGGGGGAGGCTGCCAAACTGGAGAGGCCCAGAGCGGCTTTTAAGAAGTGGGGGGAGGGGGGAGGGAGAGAGACCAGTGGCCTCGGGAGACTGGAGGGTCCCTTTTCTTGAAGTCTCCTCAAAAGTGGAGGGAGGGTGCCCGCCCTTGTAAAAGGGCTCCTGCGCCTGGGGTGGGCTGTGCAGGCTGGTCACGCCTTGCGGCTTCTCCAGTCCCCGAGGGACTTAGAACTTAGCACAACAGGATGAGCATCTGGGAGCCACGGGGCTCCCGCCCCCAGCATATCACACGGTGCCGATCGCAGTGCACGCGTGTGCGTGCACACACGTGGCCCCAGACACGCACGCACACACGCACGCACGATGCCAGGTGCCCGGCAAGGAGGCTGGCTGGCACCCCACACAGCCCGCTAGCAGTCCCTCCTGTCATTTCCACGACTCCGGGAGAAACTGTGCTGTACGATACAGATCTATTTTAATACACTCAACACTGGGTTGAACAAGATTTTTATATTCTTTTATTGATGAACAAAGTGAACTGTGAGACACACGTCTTATATATTGGTTACTCTAGATGCCAATTATGCATTACCGCGTGGCTTGCAATGTAAATGTCTTCAGGTTCCTTTTTATTTTTTTTAGTTGGTTGGTTTTTCTTCTCGGATGGATTGAATTATGTTTTTAAAGAAATTGTTAATGGGAGGATGTGAAAGGTTGGACCCGGGAGGGGTAGCTGCCGATGTGTCCTGAGACTTAGTTTTTTTTTGGACCAGGGAGGACCGTCTGATGGCTAGTGAGGATAGAGAAACAGTGTTTGTCTTAAATATGCCGATGTAGTTTCCTTCTTACGACGCATTAAACTCGATGGATGGTTTCAGAGCCCTGTGGTTTGTTTCCTTGCCTTCAACAGAGAGGCCTCGGGGAGTACGGGGGTGTGGGAGGCAGGGAGGTGGGGATTGGAGGGGGTAAAGGTCAGGGTCCTGCCATCAGCCCACCCCAAAGGGAGGGAAGGAAGAGAGAACCCTGAGGGGGGCCACCATGCACAGATGCCCCAACCCCGGGGGGTGCAGGCACCCCTTTTAGAGCCAGGATTGACGATGGCAAGTAACAGAAGCTCAGACCAGGCGCCGTGCAGAGCCCAGGGGCCATGTGCACACTGCTCCCCCCCTCCTCCCCCTGCTCCTCCTCTCAGGATCCACATGACCGCTGTCTCTGCCTCCCGGTCAGCGTGGCCCCAGGGTCCCACAACTGCCCTGGTCTCAGTCACACTGGGAAGCCACACCGCCTGCATCCTTGCTCCAGATGTGATGTAGAGGCCTCTGGTTGGTCCAGCTGGGTGAGGAGCCCATCGACGGACAGTCAGCTGTGGCCAGAGAGTGGGTGGAGGACACTGACTGTCCGCTGGAGTCCCCAGCGGGGTCTGCTGCAGCCAGTGCTGTGCGTTCCCCGCCCCCCCGCTCCTCCCCTGCCCGGGCCCAGGTACCGGAGTCAGACCGCTCTGGCTCCGCTTTTGGTCCGTGTGTGGCCCCCACTCCTCCTGAGTCCTCACCGGCCTTGTCCCACCTCCTGGCTTTCCGTGTATCTGTGCTGGTATCTCCCCAGCCTTCGTCTCCAGCCCAGACCTCTGCCATGGACTCCCGCTGCCCACGGCCAGCCCCACTGATGTCAGCGGGCATCTCAGACGGCCTGGTCTCCCCCAAGCCAGCCCTTCTGTCCCAGGGGAGCTCACCCTCCTGATAGCGTGGGCCGGCCTCCACCACGGTCGGTGTGCTTTCAGAACTGTAGCAGGTGTGCTGATTACTGTGTCACCACCCACACCGCGGCCTTGGTCTCACCATCCTCAGCCTGGACCGCCGCCGCCACCGTCTCCGCACAGTCACCTCCTCCGTCCCGCGCGGCCGGTGTGACAGTGCCTCTGTTAGATCCCCGCATTCCCTCCTCCCTCAGCAAAAGCTCAAGTCCTCAAGGCCTCAGGTCCTGCCTCCTCCCACCCCTTCAGCATCCGCTCCCACTCCACTCCACTCTCACAGCCCTGGTCTGGCCACGTGGCCTCTCTGCACCGCCTGGAGTCCCCTGGGCCCGCGCCTGCCACAGGCCTCTGCACATGCGGTGTGCTCACCCATGTGCCCCTGCCCCCCGCCGTCTCCCTGAGCATCTCCCCCACTCAGGGTCTTGGCCACAGTCCCCTCCAGGACAGCCGACCCCAGGCCCCCTGACCAAGACCCAGCGTTTCCTCTCCTTCCTGGCTCTGACTCCTGGGACGTTCATGACCTGCCATTGGTCACCTTCGTATGGTTTTGTCCGCTTCACAGAGGCAGGGAGTTCAGAGGCTGGACATCCGAGATGAAGGTGTCAGCGGCAAGGCTGATTCCTCCTGAGGCTGCGGGACGGACTCTGCTTCTGGCCGCCGTAGACTCATCACCCGTCCCTGCTCCGCCTGACACTTCTCCCTGTGGGTGTCTGTGTCCACATCTTCCTTTTTCATCAAGACAAGTTGTACAGGATGAGGCTCCACCCCAGTGATCACACATAAACTGTGTCACCCTGCTTCCGAATCAGGTCACGTTCACAGATCCTGGGGGGCTTGGGACTTCAACGTCTTTTGTGGGGGACACAACCCATAACAGACGCCTTCCGCGGGTCCTCTGAGACCTGCTTCTCTAGGTCTCTTCGCCCAGGACCACCCAGGGCTGCGCCCTGGCCTCGTCTTCCCCCGCGCAGCCCACGTAGTGTCGTCCTGCCCAAGGCCCCGTTCTCTGAGGGCCGACTGTGTGCCCGCCCCACCTGGCTCCTTCCTGGGACCTGCTCTGACACGCCAGCCCCTCCCAGGGGACTTGAAATGCCAGGACCTAAAGCGGGACGCACCCAGGTCACACGGCCAGCAGGTGGCTTTATCCCAGTCCGTGGTTCCTGGACACTCTGCCTCTCTGGACGCTGGAAGCTGGTCACAGGGGGCCCGTGTGGATGGCTGGAACAGGCCCTAACTAGGTCACAGGCACGTGCACTCCGGACCAGGCTAGCTGGCCAGTCGGGGGCTGCAGATGGCGACCTGGCCCCTGGGTGGCCCCACCGAGCGTGAGGGGACAGACGAAGGGGCACAGGCTGGCCAAATGCTCCTGACCACACGCTGCCCCTCCCTGCCCTTTCAGCCCATACTGCGTGTCCCATGGGGGGGCAGCGCTCCTTACACTAGACTCTGCTGTGCCCCCACCATCTCCCAGACCCCCCGGGGCTCCCCGAGAACAGCGCCTGCAGTGTCTGGTGATGCCGCTTGGGGGGTCCTGGTCCCCACCTCGATATCCTGCCCTCCCCTGAGCAGCAGCTCAGGCTGTGGCTGGGGGGCTCCCCAGGGACCCCCAGGCACACCCCAGGGAGAAGTCTGAGCAGGTGGCTGCAATCTGAGACTGTGAGACCACCTTGCCAGGCCACCCCACTCTCAGCCTGTCCTGCTTCTGGCGGCCGCTGCTCACCCCACCCCCATCCCCTGCCTCTGGTCCCCCGGGAGGACCCCACACCAGGCCGCAGAGAGCTAGGTGCTGGCTGTGGCTTCTGCTACCCTCACTGGCTACCTTCTGCTTGGCGAGGACCCAGCGCCCACTCCAAGACTCTGGTTTCCAAACAGAACGGAAGGACTCCCACCCACCCGCAGGCAGCTATGATCAGGTCCGTGTTGTCGTCGGGTGGCAGAGAGCCATTGGTTCCAGTGGCAGCAGGCAGGTTCCTGCGGGGTCGGGAAGCCAGTCGGGGGAAGGCTGGCTCCGGGAGGGTGTGTGCGGAGGTGCTTCCACCCCCAGCTTCCCCGACCCCCCGGTGTTAAGTCAGAAGGAGGAGGGGTCCCCACCACCTCCACTGCTGGGGCTCTTTGAGGTGGAGGCATTGCCCAGAAAGCGGGGGGCAGGGGCAGCCTGGGGTGGGCCACCTCTGGAAGCATGGCACTGGTGTCACAGCAGGCTCGTATCAGCCCAGAGAATCACTATGTGCATCACTTCCAAATTCACAGTCACTAACTTCACGTTTATTTCCTGACCACGCTACATGGCATGCGGGATCCTGGTTGCCCAACCAGGGATCGAACTTGCACCCTCTGCAAAGGAAGCACAGAGTCCTAACCACTGGACCTCCAGGGAAGTTCCTCAAAAAAATAAAAGTTCCTTTATTATCATCTCCATTCTCCTATTAAACTTATCCAATGGGTTTCTTTTTCTTTCCTGTTTGTAAAAAATAGTTTTAAATACTGTATTTCACTCTTACAGAATTCCCCTGTTTTTAAAGATTTCTATTTTTGTTTTTCACTGTGAGTTCCTCTCTTTTCATTTACTTTAAGCATATTTTCCTTTATGAACTTGAGAGTGTGTATAATAACTGCTTTAATATCCTTGACTGCTATTTTCAACACCTGCATTATTTTCAGGTTGGTCTCCATTGATTGTTTCTTGAGGTGGCGCTAGTGGTAAAGAGCCCGCCTGCCAATGCAGGAGACATAAGAGACGTGGGTTCGATCCCTGGGTCAGGAAGACCCCCTGGAAGAGGGTATGGCAATCCACTCAGGTATCCTTGCCTGGAGAACCCCAGGAACAGAGGAGCCTGGCGGGCTACAGTTCATGGGGTCACAAGGGTCAGACACGATTGAAGCGACTTACTGTGCACGCATCATTGACTATATTAGACTGGATTGCATTTTCCTGTTTCTCTGTATGATGAATAATTTTTAATTACGTCTTGGATGTTGTGGGTATTATGTAGTAGAGATCCTGGGTTCTGTTATGTTCCTTTGAAGAGTGCTGGATTTTGCTTGCTTTAGCAGGCATTGAACTTGGGCCCTAACTGCAAACTCTGTCAGCTGGTGGCTCAGACCCCGGTTCAGTTCTTTTATCATTAGCTGGTGTCTGTCCTCCATTTGAGACTCAACGATCAGACAGAACTTGAAACGGGGTTTAAATGCTCAAAATACAGCCTCTCCCTGTCTGGCTCTCTCCCGTCCAGAACTCCCGACCCACCTCCTAGTGACCGTCCCAAACTCTACCCTCTGCTCTTTAAGCCAAAAAGACTGCTGTTTCCTAATGTCGACAAGGCCATTCTAACAGAATTGCCGACTTCGGCCCAGATCAGATTAAAAGCCCCATAAAGGAAGCCCATCCGGTGCAGTCACTTCTCCAAGTGTAGACCTCCCTCGAGTCTGTCCTCACTCATTCTCCAGGGCCTTCACATTGTTGATTTCCTGTTTGCTTACCTGTGTTCTTTTGTAGTTTGTCTAGAGTTAACAGACGTTGTTGTGGAAAAGTCAAGTCCCAGGAGAGTTATTCAGCCACATTGGAAGCAGAACACTTGGATATACTAAGAATCCTTAGAAAAACTTGAATGTATGTGTGTGTGCTCAGAGGTTCAGTCGCGTCCAGCTCCCTGTGACTCCATGAATTATAGCCTGCCAGGTTCCTCTGTCCGTAGAGATTTTCCAGGCAAGGATACTGGAGTGGGTTGCCATGTCTTCTTTCTGGGGATCTTCCCAATCCAAGGATCGAACCCTCGTCTCTTGCATCTCCTGCTTTGGCAGGTGGATTCTTTACCACTGAGCCACCTTAGAAGGCGCTTAGAAAAACTTAGACTGAAGTAAGAGTTAAAGACCAGTTTCCTACTCAATTTTTAAAAAATTCCTTCTGGGACTTCTGTGGTAGTCTGGTGGTTAAGAATCCACCTGCCAATGCAGGGCACACCGGTTCGATCCCTGCTCTGGGAAGATCCCACATGCGCTGCAGCTCTAGAACCCCACACACATTAGAGCCTGTTCTCTGAAAACAAAAGAACCCACCGCAGCGAGAAGCCTGTGCCCCACAACTAGAGACTAGTAGCCCCCACTCGCCGTGACTGAGAAAGCCTGAGCCCAGCAACGGAGACCCCGTGCAGCCAAAAATTAAATAAAATTTGAAAAGGCCTCTGTATGTTGTTCCAGACGTGTAATATTTTCAATTCAGAAACTATTTATAAGAGTGGGGCATTTTAAAACTTTACACAAGCAATAGCACCCTGTATTTTATCATCCTGCAACTTCTCCCCCTCTCCGCATAATACTAGAGATTCAGTCACATGGAAACGTACAGATCCAATTTATTCATTTTACCTGCAGGACACTGTTCACTCTCATGGAAGTCGCTTTTCTTCTATTGATGGACACACTCAGGTCGCATCTGATTGTCTGCTCTGACAACAACCCTGCAGTAATCTCTGTACCTCCCTTTTTTGGTTTATTTCTCTCGACTCACAATTGCTGGATCAGCTTTAACTTCACCAGCTTGCTAAATTGTGATTGTACCAATTTACATCTCTACCAGCAGTGCAGGAAAGTGCCAATTCCTCAAAATATGAACAATGCTTCTCTCCGGGTGGTGAAATTTTAAATGATGCTCACTGCCTTTGTTTGCACTTTCTGTCAGCGAACTTTTTTTCCCCTGAGCAATTATTTCTCTGATAACAAAACAGGAAAGCTTTTTGTTATCAAACCAACAGCAGGGCTTGCCCTGCCTCTCCCATCCCATCTATATCTGGGGAGGACCCCACTTCGGGGCCCAAATCACTCAAGCCTGGGAGCTACCAGGACCCTCCCCTGTCTCCCCACTCTTTCCCACCCCTGCCTGAGTCCTGTTCATGTATCTGGGGACTTGGCGGTCCAGTGGCTAATACCTTGAGCTCCCAACGTCAGGGGCCCCAGTTCAATCGCTGTTCAGGGAATTAGATGCCACAAGCCATAGCTAAGAGTTCACGTGCTGCAACTAAGACCCAGTGCAGCCAAACAAATAAAATGGAAAAATAAAAATAAGTGAATAAATGTTTTAAGGTATTGGAAGAAAAAATATAAATGAAAAATAATTTAACAAATAAAAAAAGGCACATTTTGGGTTTTTATTTGCTTTTCTCCCCAGCTCTTCTGCAAGCCCCATGAAGGCAGGAAGTATACCCCTCCCCCCACAAAACCTCTATAATTGTGAGACTGTTACTGCTGGGACAAAACAGATGCTGTGAAACACACAGAGGCCCGCAGAGCGGAGACTGTTCTTCCTATTATGCAAAGGAGAAGAAGCTCCAAGAACTTACCCCAACCACACTCCCACGTGCAGGACAGAAACCCAAGTGGAGCCTCCTCACTTTGAACTCCTCATGCTGGGCGACATGACTCACCTAGGCTCACAGGTCTGAGTCTGAGCTGTACCAGAATCGGGGAGCCCAGTGCCTGGCCCCCCGGTGATGGCAGTCTGGCTCTTTGGAATGGACCAGCCACTTGCTCTGCCTGCAGACGCGTCTACTCAGGGCAGGATTCATTAATTCCTGGTAGATGTCAGCTACAAGTCCTGGGCAGCCTGCCTAATCTCTGGAGTCGCTTAAAATCTCTGTCATTTCTGCAAAAGGGAATGTTTGGGCAATTTATCTCACACGTCCTTGTCAACAGAAACACTCTGGGGCTCTGGTTCCAGCCTCACGTTTCATTGTTTCAGGCTGATACGCGCCGCGTGGGTCTCCGACACATTATCACCATAATCGCTTTCTCTTGCCGTGGAAATGGTGCTTTGATACAAGGGAAGGGTGACAGGACCACGCGGTGCTGGCGCTGGGATTCCACAATTATCGCCTGTGAAAGGGAGGCTGCTATCAAAGCAGCCACGGGAGAGACTCTCGGGGCCACCTCTCAGAGTCAGAAAATTTGAAACATATATTTCACAAATGTGCGCCACACTGGAAACCTTTCTGCATAATGCATGAGATTTGATTTAATGTCGTTGTTAATTCTGGTGTTCACAGTGGTGTGCTCTTAAGGGAGCCATCATTTTTTTTATTTCAGACTTTTTTTTCTTTTCCTGGCAGCACAACTCTGAGGCAGCACAACGTTTTCGGGTTGCTCTGAAGTGTATGAGAACAAGACGCCTTCCTGGGGGCTAGGGGCGCAGATGCCAGCCGCGCTTCCAGCGGCCAGTGGGGCTGGCGGTGGGTTCGCCTCAGTCTCCGAACTGAACCCCTTGGGGGCAGGGGAGCCCACTCAGGCTGGTCCGAGCCCCCCCCAACCCCCGCCCATGCCTGACTGTGGTTGGCTGGATCTGGAATTTTAAAAAAAAGAAAAAAAGGATGTAAGAGAAAAGAAAAAGGGCTTTGTAGGGGAATAGAAAAGAAACAATAATACTTTTCAAGTGGTCCAAGAGCACTGTTCTGGCTGCGCTTGGCTGTGAGAGAGGGAAAGCTGGAAGGAACAGCAAAGGTGGATAAAGAAGGATGGAGGGAAAGAAAAAGAGAAAGTGAAGTCGCTCAGTCGTGTCTGACTCTTTGTGACCCCTTGGACTGTGTGTAGCCCACCAGGCTCCTCCGTCCGTGGGACACTCCAGGGAAGAATACTGGAGTGGTTGCCACTTCCTTCTCCAGGGGGTCTGCCCACCCCAGGGATTGAACCCGGGTCTCCCGCCTTGTAGGCAGACGCTTTACCGTCTGAGCCACGAGGGAGTGGGGGGTCGGACCAGAAGCAGGAGGGGGGCTGTGGAGAGACAGGTGAGAACGGGGGGCTGGGAGGAGACGGGCTATGCTGCTCAGATCAGCGGGTGCCGAGGGGCTCCTGGAGCCCAGGACACGGGGCCAGAACCCGGCGCCGTGAGGGCACAGGCTGCCACCGCCCGGCTCGGGGAGGCTGGCGTGGAGCGAGCACGCGCTGCAGCCTGTGGACTCCATCCTGCGTTTAAGTCCGCCGGGCTGGGAAGGTCTGAGCTCCCTCGGCCTTTGTGAACATTTGCCATCTACTTAGGGTGACTGCAGCTGCTGAAGAGGTGTGCCAGGGCTGGGTGGGGGGTGGGGAGGAGCGTGGACAGCCACCTGGGTGACCAAGACCTGTTTTAAGTCCAAAGATGTAGATGATTCTGGTCCAACCAGGAAGTGTCCAAGATACAGTTTGGCAGCAGACAAACCTTTTTTTTTCTCCAGTTTTATTGAGAACTAACTGATGTACATCACGATGCTTTTTTCCTTTTTTAAATTTCATTTTTAACTAGAGGATAATTGTGTGTGTAAATGTCGCTTAGTTGTGTCCAACCCTTTGCAACCCCATGGACTGTACAGTCCATGAAATTCTCCAGGCCGGAATACTGGAGTGGGTAGCCTCTCCCTTCTCCAGGGGAACGTCCCAACCCAGGGATCAAACCCAGGTTTCCTGCATTGTGGGCGGATTCTTTACCAGCTGAGCCACAAGGGAAGCCCTTGAGGATACTTACTTCACAATATTGTGGTGACTTTTGCCGTACATCAGCAGGAATCAGCCACAGGTGTACATATGTCCCTCCCTCTTGAACCCCCCTCCCACCCACTGGGTAAGTTTAAGGCATATAGCATGTGGGTCTGGTGTACGTGTATCGTGAAATGATTATCATAATAGGTTCAGTTGACATTCATCATCTCATGTAGATATAATAAAAAGAAAACAATTTCTCCTTGTAATGAGAACGCTTAGTATCGACCCTCTAACAACTGTCCTAAGTATCAGACAGCAGGAGTGGCTATAGTCATCAAATTGTTAGTTATATTCCTAGTATTATTTATCTTACGGCTGAGGTTTGTAACTTTTGATCACTGTCCCAATTCCTCCTTCCCCACTTCCTGTCTCTGATAACCACAAATCTGATCTCTTTTTCTATGACATTGGTGGTTTTTGTTTGTTTTTTGTTCTACATATTAAATGGGATCATAGGGTTTTTTTTTCTCTGCCCGACTTATTTCACTTGGCATAGCATCCTCAACGTCTATCCATGTTGTCAAAAGTGTTAGGATTCCCTTGTCTCTATGGCTGAATAATCTTCCACTGTATAAATAATCACATCTTCTTGGTCCATTCATCCACCGAGAATCACGTGGGTTGTTTCCAAGTCATGGCTGTTGCCAACACAGGGCAGACAAACCCTGATGTCCACACTGAATCATTCAAATGTGTTCAGACAGGAAGCTGGGCCAGGAGGTTGCATCTGATCAGTCTCAGGTCTCGTGGTTTCTGAGCTGCTGTCCTGGCAGCTGGAGGGGACTGGAGTGTGAACGTCCCCTCCACTGTAAGGTGGGGAGACTGAGGCCCTGACCCCTCTCTTTGGCCCCCACAGCACAGGGCTACACAGAGCTGAATCCCTGCTCTGCCGTGTACAAGCTGTGTGGCTTAGAGTAAGTTCCTCCACCTCTCTGGTCCTCCAGGTCCTTTTCTGTAGACCAGAAATGAGATGATCGGCGTAGACATGTAGACCCACCTGCCCCAGGTCAGGGAGGGACTTCACCAGGGAGGATTAATCCTCCTGGCCTCCCCCCTCGCCGCCCCTCCCTTGGGAAGAGGAGGGAATATTAAGAAGGTGGGACTCAGAAGTCTGGAGCCAACTGCCTGCAGAACACGTGGACCCTGGCCTGCGTCTTGCCCGGGCTCAGGGATCAGGTGGTGTTTGTCAAAATCAGGGTGACTAGTTAGTGAGCGCCCTTGGCCACAGACAGAGCGCAGGCAGGCAGGGCCCTGGCCAGCTCGAAGCAGGCACTTTGACCCCCGGGTCAAAGTCTGCCTTTTCCTCAATGTTCTCAATCCAGGCACAGAGATGGTTGTTACTTAAAGCCGCTCAAGTCCCAACCATGAACGCCCACCGGGCTGGGCTCCCCCAGGAGGCAGAGGCAGGTGGGAGGTGGTTCTGCAGCAGCCCCTACACCGCAGGGACCAGCGAGGACAGCAAAGTCTCCTCCCGGCATGTGGCCCGCATGGCCGTGTGTCATCCTGAGAGCGCAGGTCGGAAAAGAACTCCAGAAGGGAGTGAGTTCATCATAACAAAGAGCAGAGATAATGTGGGCACTGGGAGCACGGCAGGCCGAGCTCTTGACCCATCAGGGAGAGCTGATAGGATGCTGTTGGAACAGCGGGCCGGCTCCAGGGAGAGCCGACGCTTTCGTGAGTTGTTGTTCAGTCACTAAGTCGTGTCTGAATCTTTGCGATCCATGGACTGTAGCACGCCAGGCTTCCCTGTCCTTCACTATCTCACTGAGTTTGCCCAAACTCATGTCCACTGAATTGGTGATGCTACCCAACCATCTCACCCTCTGTCATCCCCTTCTCCTCCTGCCCTCAATCTTTCCCATCACCAGGGTCTTTTCCGATGAGTCGGCTCTTCGCATCAGGTGGCCAAAGTATTGGAGCTTCAGCTTCAGCATCAGTCCTTCCAATGAATATTCAGCATTGATTTCCTTTAGGATTGACCGGTTTGGTCTCCTTGCTGTCCAAGGGACTCTCAAGTGTCTTTTCCAATACCAATTTGAAAGCATCAGTTCTTTGGTACTCAGACTTCTTTATGGTCCAACTCTGACATCCATACATGACTACTGGAAAAACTGTGCTGTCTCTGCTTTTTAATACACTGTCCAGGTTTGTCACAGCTTTTGTGGGTTAGCAGCCAATTTTTACAGCCTCAAAACAAAGAAAATTCCTGCTGGAAGGGTGCATTAGGTGATTGTTTAGGGGCCATAGAGTGAGCATGGGGTGGGCATTTTTGCCTAACTTGGGGTCAGGAAACTGGCTGGTGATGATCAGGGGGGCTTTTGGCAACAGTTGAGAAGGAAATGGCAACCCACTTCAGTATCCTTGCCTGGAGAATCCCATGGGCAGAGGAACCTGGAAGGCTACAGCCCATGGGGTCGCAAAGAGTCGGACATGACTGAAGCGACTCAGCACGCACGCACAAAGGGACTCAGTCAGTTCCAGAGGTGACCTTGGCTCTGGGCTCCATTTCTGTTGCCTTGGTGCAAGGCCTCACACCTGTGACCTTGGACTGGGACTCCACAGCCCGCCCTGCTGGGGCTGGGCCTGCCTCTCCCCAGGAGACGTGCTGTGTCAGTGGGAGGGTCTCCCCTCCAGCACCCATCACCAGCTCCACCTCCTCCACCCAGAAGCCACAGGAGGACCAACGTCCTTACCACTGGATGGCCGGGACTCAGGGGCACGGTGCTCTGGCCTGGACACCACAGGGAACCCGCATCAGAGAAACGAGAGGATGCTCCCCTGCTCTCGGTCTGCCAGGCCCTTGAAACAAGGGGTCACCCACTCACTGCCGGGCGTTGGGAGGCGGCTCAGCGGGCACATGTCCCCTCCCTTACAGAGACAAGGCCAGGCAGGCAGGCGGCCGCAGCCACAGGTGGAAGTGGAGTGAATGTGGAGGTGAGAAGAGGCAGGAGGTGAGCACGGCGCCCACACCCTCCGCATTCGGGAAGGAGCCCCAGCTGTCCATGGGACTCTCCAGGCAAGAATACTAGAGCGGGTTGCCATGCTCTCCTCCAGGGGATCTTCCCGACCCAGGGATGGAACTCACATCTCTCGTGTCACCTGCAATGGCAGGAAGGCTCGTTACCACTGGCGCCACCTGGGAAGACAAAGTGAAAGTGTTAGTTGCTCAGTCGTGTCCAAGTCTTTGCGATCCCATGAACGGTAGCCCGCTAGGCTCCTCTGTCCATGGGATTCTCCAGGCCAGAATACTGGAGTGGGTAGCCATTTCTTTCTCAGGGGATCTTCCCAACCCAGGGAGAGAACACAGGTCTCCTGTATTGTAGGCAGATTCTTTACCATCTGAGCCACCAAGGAAGCCCTCCTTACAGCATAGTTTAAGTTAAATGAAGCCATGAGTGTGGGACCCGGGCCCGACAGTCGTGTGTCCTTATGAGAAGAGACACTAGGGAGCTGGCCCTTTTGTCTCCTGAAGACAGAGAGGAGGTGGCCATCTGCACGTCAGGGGGAGCATCCTCGCTAGAAGTAAAGCCTGCTGGCACGCTGACCCTGGGCTTCCCGCCTCCACAACAGCAAGAAAACATGGGCCTGTTGTTGAAACCCTGGCCTGTGGTGTATGTTGTGGGGGCCTGCCCACACTGACCCATCAGGCACAAGCCCTCCTTTGCTGCCAGGTCTGTGTGGGGCACCTGACCCCAGCCAGCCCACCAGTGCCTGCCCCGGACACGTGTCCCGTCCAGGGTGAGACCTTGGCTCAGCCAATCAGGGATGCTGGGGGCTCTTTGTTGGGAACATGGAGCCATGACTTTTCACGGTTCCTCACTGTATGCAGAGCTGGGAACACAGGACCATCTCGCAATGCCAAGGGGCCGGCCTGCCTGAGACCGCGGGGCCAGGACACGTCCTGGAGCCCTCGGGCAGCCGATGGCCCCGTTTCTCCACCTCCTCGTATCCGCACCCTTTGGCCTTCCGCTGTGACCCTGGCCTTAGCCCCGAGGCCAGCGCTGGTCAACGGGGTGTGAGTGTTAGTGACGCCACCCAAGCTCGGAAGCTGCGGTGCTAGCGCTCCTGCTTGGAGTCGGCTCACGTCCAGGGAATGCGTGCCCGTTCATCAAACGGAAACGCAATGCCTGCGGGAGGGTGGAGTCTCCCCAGCCACCCTGCAGCCTGACGCCGCCAAGCCAGTCCTGAGACCAGAACTGCCCGCTGACCCACCATCTTGCAGCCAGTGACCAGAGGCCGCTGCTCTAAGTCACTGGGTCCGCGTGGTTTGTCACGCGGCATCACGGCAGCAGGAGACGCCTGGTACCAGGCCCAGCCAGTACATTCCCGTTTTCGGTGAGGCCAGGCTGAGTTCTGATCCTCACCGATCCATCATCTTGGCTCAGCCTGCCCTTACCCAACAAGAGGGGCTGAAGAATCACAAGCACGGAATTTTCAACGGAGGGTTGCTTCGCTGGAAGATCGTTTAATGGCAAGTTTACAAAACACAGATGCGGAGACCACCACTGACATTTCCAGCCCTAGAGGAGTCTCCCGGCCGTGGTCAGGGGACGCGGAGGGAGCGGGGGCCGGGCGAGGCCGGAGGCGGGTCTGCCTCCAGCGGCGCCTCCGTCGGGGGCGGAGCCTCTGGCGCGGGGACCGCCCCGCTCGCCGGCCTGGGCCCCGCGCTCTTCCTCTTCCGGGCGGCGGCTGAAGACCTTCCCGTGGTGCTCAATCAGCAGCTCGGTGAACAGGTTCAGGGGCACGAGGGCCCCCAGGGAGGAGGCCCCCTGGGACGGCCAGATCAGATTCAGCCCGAAGACGCAGGCCAGGTTGGAGCTGTTCATCTTGTTCGAGATGCTCTCCTGGGACACCTGGGGCCAGAACGTGCGGTAGACAGGGGTGTGACCGGGCGTTCCCTGCGCCCGGAGAAGGGCTGGAGCCGCCTGCCCGCGCTGTGACCCTTCGTGGCCTCAGTTTCCCGTCTGTAAAACGGGAGGGATGGGCCTTGACAGCCCGGGGGCCCGCTGGCTCTGACCTCTTGATCTCTAGCAGCCTCCCCTCCCCACCCCACCCCAGGCTCCTCCTCCACTCCCAGGACTCAGGGGTGGGGCCCTGGCACCGTGGGCAGAGCAGGCTCCGGTATGCAGGTGTTCTTGGAGGACTGAGGACAGAGAGCCCGGCTCCGAAAGGGGCTGCCCGCTCATCTCGGCCAACACTAGGCAACCCCAGCGCCGCGAGAGGAGACATTTCTATTGTCTTAGGGCCCCCGGTGTGTGGCTCATGGTGCAGCAAGCCCCGGACACGTCCTGCTGAGGCCCCACGCGGGTGGCAGACTCTGAGCACCCCAGGTCTGCGCACACAGCACCCCTGTCCGCACCCCACCCCGCCCCTGACCTGCCCTGTGACCTGCCGGGCAGAGGTGTGGCCCGGTCAGGCCTTGCAGGAGCCCCTTCGGGCCCAGAGTGGGCTCCAGGGCTGGGGGAAGTGAGAACCCAGGCCTGGTCTGCCCGGGCACCAGTTCGGCCCCCTCACCTCATGCAGGAAGCCCATGAGGTAGCTGAGGACAGCGTAGTTGTGTTCTGGAAGGTTCTGTAGGATCTGGCGGCAGCAGGTCACCCGCAGGCTGCTCTCCACACCTGCCACAGCCCAAGGGTCCTTTCTGAGCGTCCCCTTCCTGCGTCCCTCTGAGGACGGGCAGGGGCGTGGGGAATCGGGGACAGACAGCCCCATGCCTGGGCCTCGGGCCCACTTCCTTCCCGGCCATGTGGCTATTCTCAGCAAACCCCTGTTCTCCGAGCTCTGCCTGCTTCTTTACCTCGGGCACCATGACTGCTCCCCACCAGACGACCCCCGGGAGCCAGATCACCTTATGGATGGGATGGTCGATACAAACGACAGGCTGAGGGTGGGTGGCCTACTTCTGTCAATAAAGCTTTATTGGCACAGACCCACATCCATTCATTTGTCCATGGCTGCTTTTGCATGATGGCTGAGTCTGGTACACACAGCCTAAAACATTTACTATCTGACTCTATAGAAAAAGCACATGGACCCTGCTCTGGACTAACTCAACCTGTTTACAATCCACAGCTCAGGGCCCCACACCCAGCAGGGTCTGGAAGCAGCCAAGCAGACCGTGCGCCTCCAGTGCCCCCCCACCCCACATACCCCACTGAGCTCCATAAACTGCGAGTGCAGAGGTGCTACTCCACATGCATCCGCCAAGCTCCTGCTGCGGACACACGTGTGCACACATGGACACACCTCGAGCTTCCAGCACCCTAAACCTCCTCCCACTAAACCTTGGGCACGGTGACTGTGAATTAACACAGCCTCTGCTGAAAGACACAGAATTCCCTGCTGTGAACATTCTTGTTGGTTTTTCAACAAAAGTCATTCTTCCCTGAACTCAAGCTGTTGCCGGGTAATTTGAGCAGACTAGGAATCCCCTCGGAGTTAACATTTCCAAGGAACCAACAAGTCTTGTTGCCCTGGATCTCTGCTTTCCAGCCTCTACATCTTTCTTTCTAAGAGCTGTGGTCCCAGAGTAGATATGGTACATCGTCCACCCCTGGCTTTTACTGTGGTTCCTTCGAGAACGAATATTCCCTAGTGAGCAGGAAGGAGCAGCTTGCTGTCACAAAGCCGCCACGAAGCACTTACTCTGTGCCAGGAATCATGCCAAGCAGTGTACGTGCCTTTCAATCTCAATGCAACCCTGCTTTTATATAGACGAGGAAAGTGAGCTCAGAGAGGTTAAGTGACCTGCCCAAGGTCACACAGCTAAGCTGTACTGAAGCCCAGACTTGAGTCCCATTCTGTTCAGCTATGAGTTGGTGCTCTAAACCTTGCTATACCTTGGGGCAGCTATCCCCGTGGCAGTTTCCTTTTTTTCCTGGACACCACAGGCCACCTGGGAAGCCCATTTCCTCCAGAGTGTTCTCTGCAAGGACTTCTTGCATCACTTCAAGGAGACATGCACCCCACCTGGGCGGGGTTGCCAGATACAGTAGAGGCTATCCAGTTAAATGTGAACTGAAGATAAACAGCAAATTCTTTTTTAGTGCAGGTATATCCTGTTCAATATTTGGCACATACTTATACTAAAGAGTTTAGTATACTTACTTACACATAGATACCTACTTATACTAAGAGTTCATTATTTATCTGAAATTCACATTTGACTGGACGTCCTGTGTTTTTTAAATGCTGAATCTGGCAACCCTATGCCTGAGTCAGGATTAAGTCAAGCTGAGTTGTTGAATGACAGCCGACAGGGTCCATAGCCTTCAAATAACTAAGCTGATAGAATGATAGGCAGCTATTAAAAAGAATGAGTAGAGATGGCAAATGAAGAGGAAATAACTAGTTCATAACTGCAATCTTTCTACAGGAACTGCTCTAAGATGGGGTCAGGCAACTCTGTCCATCATCAGGTTTTGGCTGGAACGAAAAGTGCTTTCTTGGGCAGGAATTTATTTGGGTTGGAGTCACCATCCTAGGGGTACAGCCTCGAGCCTTCTAACTCTCATTGTTAGCAACAATCAGAGTGCCTGTTCAAATCTCAGCGTGTGCGTATGGGGGTGGGGGGCCGTGGGGAGGAAGTGGGGGCTTGGTTGTGTCTCATGACTTGAGACCCACCAAGAGTCAAATCCAGTCTGGGGGGAGCAGTGGGGGCAGAGGTCGTCCCATTTGACAGCAGCAGTGTTTGGTCACGTGCTTTCTCAGCATCCTCCAGCATCCCCGACTCGCCCTTGTTCTTGCTGTTTAGTCGCTCAGTCGTGTCTGACTCTTTACGACCCTAGGGACTGTGGCCCACCAGGCTCCTCTGTCCATGAGATTTTCCACACAAGAACACTGGAGTGGGTTGCCATTTCCTTCTCCAGGGGGAAGACCACCCTAGACTAGGGAGAGAGCCCACGTCTCCCGCATTTGCAGGCGGATTCTTCAACACTGAGCCGCCTAGGAAGCCCTGGCGTGCCCTCACTGGCTGTTAGGAGCGACCAGTGCCACGGCCAGCCTTCGGTGCCCCTGGTCCATTCCAGGACGCCGGCATCACCACGCCCGAGAGCTGCAGCTCACACCACGCCTCCCCGGCGTTCCCCACCAATCTGGGGAGACTCTCTCCTCAAATTCCAGTCAGGCTTTTTAGAGTTCTTTTATTAACAAAGCCTCTGCTTTCAGGCTTCTTTTTGCCTCTGCGCTGTCCAGCTTTACCAAGAGCTGTAAGTGAGTGTGACGGGAACCCTGATCACCCTTGCCATCTGATGGGTCCTCATCCCCCCGTCCCCCACCCCCTAGGGGGTGTTGGACCACCTGGTCCACGGGTAGCAAGAGTCCTCGGATCAGTGTAGTCAGAATCTGCCCCGCCTACCCCCACCCCCGTTTCCCTTGAGTGATCTTCCAGCCACGGACCACCCGCTCCCTGGCTGTAAAGCCCCTCCTCCTGCTTGCGGTGTTTGGAGTTGAGCCCAGTCTGTCTCCCCACTGCAGTGGTCCCCACACCTCTCACGATGCCCCCCTGCCCCACGAAAGGGTGCCTCATGGTGCTTTCACAAGGGCCACGCATAGCTTTGTCTGAAACAGCAGGCGGGGGTGGTACCCCCCTTTCTAGAGGAGGAAGTTGAGGTGCTAGAAGTAGAGATCCTCTGGAGCAGTGCAGGGGGGTGCACTCTGACCAGGGAGACGTACCCCAGATCTAGAGACGCCCTCCGAGATCCCGCCTCTGGGCCCAGGGCAGCTAACAACCCCTGACCCTGTATCCCCCGACCCTGGGCAGGGCTGGCCTGGCTGAGGCCGGTGGGGGTCCAGGAGGGGACAGCCCCTCTCCTGGCCCACAGCGCTGGAGGGAAACAGGAGGAGGCCGGGCAGCCCCACCCGCCCCCGCCGGCCTTCGACTGGCACCCCGGGCACCTCTGGCCGGCACCCCGGCGGGTACATACTGGTGATCTCGAGGATCTGCTCGTAGGCCTCGAAGGTCAGCAGCGGCTGGGGCAGCTCCCGCAGGAAGGTCTTCAGGATCACGGCCGGAAGGTGGATGTCCCCATAGTCATCGAAGTTCACGGGCTTCCCTGGACACAGAAGGGCGTGCATCTGAGTTCTGACGCTGGGCTGCGGACTCCAGCTGTCGAGCAGGCTCAGACTCAAAATGGCTTGAAACCTCCTGAGGGGAGGAGCCCGACGCCAGGACATGGCACTGTCCCGTCCTGCTGATGGGGTGTCACCTGCCCTCCCCTGCCTCTCCACGGCACCCGGCTGAGGCTGGGGGACACTGGGACATTTTAATGAATTAATTTGGTGGCACTGGATCTTCATGGCAGCATGCAGGGTCTTTTATCTTTGTTGTGGCACGTGGTATCTAGCTCCCTGACCAGGGATTGAACCCAGGCCCCCTGTATGAGGAGTGGAGTCTTCGCCGCTGGACCACCAGGGAAATTTCAGGGGGACACTATTGATTCTCTGCCATATGACCCGGTGCCGCCTGGACGAGAGCACCCTGAGGTCAGGCCTGGCTTCCACTGTCTCCAGGATTGGGAGGAGAGGCTGGTGTCCGGGCACAGCTGCCCCCCAATCTGGGCTATTTTAGGCTCGGGGGTGGGGGGAGCTCCACTGGCTCGAGTGATGGGCTCTGTGGCCCCGGAGGCCCCTGTGAGGCTGGCCGGGTGGGAGACTGACAGGGAGGGTCTCGGGGAGCCACTCACCTTGGTTGTAGAGCCGCTGGATCTCGCGGACCGTCTGGACACTGGCCGATCTCCGGAACAGGCCCTCGGTGTGGAGTCCTGTAGGGAGGGTCCCCAGGCATCTCACAGGGCCCAGCACCTGAGGTTTCTAGAGCACTCTGTGACCCCCTGCCCACGCATCCCCCCACCGCGGCTGGCAGGGGACGCTCTCCAACCTGGCTCATCTTCTCCCTGCTAGCCCCGTACCCACCCATGTTTATTCCTCTTAAATCAAGCCTTTTCCATATTCCCCAGTCCCACCTGATTCCCCACCTCTGCAGACCCCAGAAGGGGAGAGTGGAAGAGGCTGACGCTTCAGGCAGACTGCTGGGGTCTGCCCGACGATGAGGCCTTGGGCCAGCTGTGTGACCTCAGAGAAAGCACTCAGCCTCTCTGAGCCTCAGCTGCCTTGTCTGCAAAGAAAGCCAGGAGCGCCTGCTCCAGAGGCTGCAGGAAGGATGAACAGGGTGACTCATGGCCTGAGCCCAGCCCCCAGGACGCCCCCGAACATGCTGCTCCCCTTTCTTCCCAGTGTCTAGAGCTGACCTGGCCTATATGGCAGCCACTAGCTGCCCATGGTGGTTTACATTTGTGCAATTAAAATTAAATAAAGTAAAAAATCAAGTTACCCAGGCTCAGCACACGAGCCACATACGCTGTGCTGTGTTGGACGACGGCCACACGTGGCCAGTGGCTACCATCCTGGACAGTGCAGAGAGCATGTCCATGTTCGCCAGGACAACACCGGGCCCCAGACACCCATGCTCGCCGCTCACCCCCTCCCCAGTCTCTTTCCACGCTGAAGCTGAGTGAGCTATTTGACACCTACATCCAAACCTCAATGGCTCTGGCATGGAGCTCTTCCTTCTCATTCAGTCATGGGAAAGCTGCTGTGAACCCATACCACAGACCTACAGGTCTGCCTTCTGCCGCCTCGCTCTCCTGCCCAGCGCCCCCCACCCACCCCTCTAACCCCTCTGTTCAGCCTCCACCGGCTCCACGATCTTTCCTACCTTCACCCTCTGCACCTGCCATTCCCCTTGCCTAGGGGCCCCTCCTCCTCTTGTAATAGGCAGAAATCTGACATGGCCCCCAGACTCTTGGGCCCTGGAGTCCCAGGTATTCATTTAAACATTAATCTAGATGCTGCAGTGAAGGGACTCTGCAGAGAGCATTCAGGTCCAACGTAGTTGACCTGAAGATACGGAGATGATCTAGGGTGGGTCTGGCCTAATCAGGTAAGTCTCTTAAGAGGGACCCAGGTTCCTCCTGGCAATGCAGACTCAAAGCGTGGGGGGCAAGGATTCGAGGTGTGGGTGTCTCTCCAGGGAGAGGTCACACGGCAAGGGAAGCAGGCCACCTCTAGGAACAGAAAGAGACCCCTGGCTGACAGCCAGCAAAGATGCAGGCAACTTGGAACTGCAAACGCAAGGACTGAACTTGACTGGCGCACTGGATGAGCATGAAAGTGGAGTCTTGCCCAGAGCCTCCAGAAAAGAGCACAGCCTGGCCAGCACGTTGAGTTGAGCCCTGTTGAGACCCTGAGCAGAAAACCCAACGCCCGTGGCCAGACTTCTGACCTTAGACATTGTAATAATAAATTCATGCTGTTTTAAGCTCCTAAATTTGTGGCTATTTGTTACACAGCCACCAGCGGGGCAGAGCTCAGCTTCCCCTGACTCTGTGACCGGCTCATCCCTGTTGTGTGAGTCTGTAGTTGTCATAGTTACAGCCCCTGGAAGGGACACAGGCTGTGTGATGCAGTCACCAGGACAACCCTAGTGCCTAGACCAGGGCTGAATGCAGCTGAGTGTCCAATGAATACATGTTTAATCCACATATTCATTCAACAAACACAGAGTGAGTTCCTACTGTGGGCTGTTTGTTAATTTTTTTTTTTTAATAAGGGAATTAATACATTTTTTAAAAAAGGAAAACTCCCTTCCACAGCTTCTATGAAATTTTTTTATCCACAAGTTTTTTTTGTCCATTCCTGAGATACATAACAGAAAGGGCAGTACTACTCATGACAGAGTAGAAACAAATGTCGAAGGAGAGACCGCTCCAAATGACAACCACAGACCCTCCAGCCTGAGAGCCGAGGTCTCAGAGAAATTTTCACGCCTTGAGTGTGCAGTTCCTGGGACATGCTGGGAACCACCCCCAGGGACCCCACTTCCCCTCTGACGCTCTGACCCCCACAGCTCCTGCATCTGAACCTGTAGGCGATCACCCTTCGCTGGCAGCCCTTTATCTCAAGAGTGGTCTTCCCCCCGTTAGGGTGAAAGACACCTCCATGCACCTTTCCTGTGGATCTGAGCTCTGGCCTCAGTCCAGGGGGAGCCACAGGGCTCATCCCCACATCAGTGAGCACACCCACCCCACTGGCAATGGTGTCTACAAACCCAGCGCATCTCTCGTGATGAAGGAGTCCCTTTTATGGGGGTGTTCCCATGGACCAGAGCTGTGTGAAGCAGCACACACACATCCCCTCACTTAGGCTCGACAGCAACCCCGTGCACCTGGGACAGATGAGGGAGCAGAGGCCCAGAGAAGGCCAGTATCTCACCTGAGGCCACACGGCCAGCACACAGCAGAGCCAGGATTCCAACCCAGAGAGTCCAGGTCAGGGCCCGTGGCTGCAGCCACTGTGCCCCAGGCCTGCCCATCCTGGGCATCCCCCCGTGCCCAGGTTCTAGCTCCTCCCATCCTCTGGCCCGTGGGGCGCTCGGGACCCCAGAGAGGCCTCCAGGAGCGGTGTCCCTGGCACCCTCAGCTCCCCTGGCTGGAGCCAGCTCGCACTCACCTTTCTCTCTCAGGTACGTCACTGTGTACCTCAGCACGGGGGGGATGAGTTCACCTTGATTTTTGTCTTTGAGGCTGAGGGCAGAGAGAAGAAGGCAGCAGTTTTCACCTGGGTGTGATAGGTGATCGTGATAAGAACGAGGTCCTCACCATACCTCTGAGAAAACATGGGCCCGAGATGCTGTGCAGGGAGAGAAAGAGGTGGCCTGGGCCCCAAGGAGGTAAGTAGTCTGGTGGCCAAGAGAGGCGGAAATAATAAAAACGACGGTGCGTTATCTGAGCGCTCCACCAGGAGGGTGCACATGCTACGGAGGAGCTCTGCGGTTGGGGAGGGCTCCACACGGGGCAACTTCTGAGCTGGGTTTTGAGGGATGAGTAGGAGGTTGCAGGGAACAAAAGAGGAAAGGGCATTCCAGGCAGAAGGAAACACACAGAAGAAGGCCCAGAGGTGGAGAAGGTCTGGCTGTGGAAGCAGAACCAGGAGACCTAATCAATCAAAAGAGATGCTGTGTGAAGACCAAGCACATTGCTTCAGACAGGCTGATAACACTCAGTCTCTTATGTAGTAATCTGATACAGAGATTCAGGAAACTTTAAATGCTTTAAAGATAAGGAAACTTTAAAACACAGGTACAATTATATGAATGGCCCTTCCAGCCCCACCTCCTCACACCCCAGCTCAACTGGCAGAGTCAGAAATCTGAAGCCACAGCCTCCTACACTGACCCATTCTACGGACCCCTGGGCTCCCTCTAAACATGTTTGCTTCTCTCTTTCCTCGTCTGCTGGATTTTCTTGCCCCAAAGGCAGCATATTTGAGAGACTGGGCTAAGTTGGTCCAGGCTCCTCTGTCCGTGGAATTCTCCAGGCGAGAATGCTGGAGTGGGTTGCCATTTCCTCCTCCAGGGGATCTTCCCAACCCAGGGATCAAACCCAGTCTTCTGCATTGCAGGCAGTTTCTTTACCGTCTGAGGCACCAGGGAAGCCCCCGGCTAGACTGAGGGGCCAGGGCTCTGAAGTCACACATTCCTGGCTGGGATCCCGCCCTGCCACTTTTTAACTGGGCAGAATATGTTTTGCTGTTCCTAGGATGCCTGCTCTTTAAATGTCAGTTGGGTTAATTTGACTGATTGTGCTGCTCAAGCTTTCTAGACTATTGTTGCTGTCTGCTTGTTCCACCAACTATACCGAGCAGGGTATTAGGGTGTCCTACCAGGATTGTGTATCTGCTTCTCCTTTGGTTCCCCCAGATTTTGTTGCATGTATTTTAAAGCTGCTACTAGTGAATAAACTCTTAAGATTAACTTCTTTATTATTACAAAATGTTTCTCGCTACACCACAGAAATCAGGATACACCACAAAACGGTTGTTGTTTGAAGCTTGGTGCTGGGGGAACTTATGATGTAGCCACAGATTAGGGGAAAACATGGTCACAGGTGGATAGAGCAGGGACTCAGACCCACGAGTCTGAGCCTGGAACCCTCACTCTTAAATATTATCTACTTAATTTCCATTGTACTTTTGCTAGCCCCAGTCAGAGATGGGAGATGGACACTGGGAAAGTCCAAGTGAGGGCTGGGTGACGTCCCAGGCCAGACGCAGAGGGCCCATTACACGGACGGAGAACTGGGACCAGTGTGCTTGTGAATAGACACAGAATCCTCAACAAAATATTAGCCATGCAAATTCAGCAACGTGTGAAAAGATGACATACCATGAGCACATGTGATCTATCCCAAGAATACAAAGCTTGTTCAACACATGCAAATCAATCAGTGTAAAGTCACATTAATGGAATAAATGACAGAAGTCATGTGATCTCTCAACAGAGCAAAAAAAGCATCTGACAAAATCTAACACCATTTCACGAAAGAAAAAAACCCCAACACTCCACAGAGTAGCCACAGAAGGGATTTTCCTCAACCTGATCGAGGGAATCTATGAAAAACTAGCTTTATCCTTAATGGTAAAGAGACTGAAAGCTCCCCACTAAGATCGGTAACAAAACAAGGATGTCCATGCTCGTCACTTCTATTCAACATTGTACTGGAGGGCATAGCCAGTGCGACCAGGCAAGAAAAGGAAATAAAAGGCATCCAAGTTGGAAAAGAATAAGTATAACTATCTCTATTTGCAGATGGCATGATCTTGGATATGGAAAATACTAAAAAAAAAATTTCACGAAAAAACCTATTAGAATAAATGAGTTCAACTAGATTGCAGGATATAGAATCAGCATAAAAAAATCAATTGTATTTCTATACACTAGCAATGAACAATTAAAAATGAAATTAAGAGAGCAATTTGATTTACAATAGCATCACAAAGAATAAGAACTAAATAAATTTAATAAAAAAGTACAGAACTGCTACACGGAAAACGATAAAACATTTTTGAAAGAAATTTAAAGATTCAAATAAATGGTAAGACATCCTTGCTTTTGAATTGGAAAGAACCTGCCTTGTCAATGCAGGAGACATAAGAGACTCAAGTTTGATCCTTGGGTCGGGAAGATCCCCTGAAGGAGGGCATGGCAACCCGCTCCATATTCTTACCTGGAGAATCCCATGGACAGAGGATCCTGCCAGGCTACAGTCCATGGGGTCACATAGAGTCGGACACAACTGAAGCAACTTAGCTCGTAGCACACTATTAAAATGGCAATAACCCCCAAATTAGCTTACATGGCACAGTCCCTATTGAAATTCCAATTGCTTTTTTTTTTTTTTTGCAGAAATTGACAAACTGATTCTAAAATTAATAAAGAAATTCAAGGGACTCAGGAGAGCTAAAATAATCTTCAAAAAAAAAAAACAAAACTGGAAGACTCACACTTCCCAATTGCAAAACTTACTATAAATCTACAACAATAAAGATCACGTAGCACCAGCTTACAAATCAATGGAATAGAATCAAGAGTCCAGAAATATACCCTCATATGCCTGGTCAATTAGTTCTTTACAAGGTGTGTCAAGGCAATTCCATGGGGGCAAGTATAGTCTTCTCAACAAATGATTCTTGCCTGTGTGGAGTATCAGGGAAGGCTTCCTGGAGGAGGGGATCAGAAGGAATAAGAGTAGGCAATGAACTGGGCTGCAGGAACTGCTCACATTGCCTGCACATTCTATTAAGACCCCATGACCCTGGAGGGTACAGAGGGCAGGGTCTCACCTGCAGTTAGAGGGGAAGACGCTAGGGTGAGAAGTTACATCACAAGCTTTGCCTTCCCAAAGCTGGAAAATGCTAGAGCTGGGATGTGACCTGCCTCCCCTCCCCTGCTCCTGGAACCCCTCCCTTTTTCCATCCCAACTGCCCAGTTCAGAGCTGTTTCCATTGTCCCTCCTCAGGGATGGCATGGAAGGCAGGCAAAGACTACTTGAATCTCTGACTTCCCTTTAATATATTAACTTAATTAGCTTGTGCTAAGGTGATTACATTCTGTTGTGTGTTTTTGAACTTAACTCAGCGAATTAACACTTGTGAATAGGATCTGCTTATGAATTTTAATGACTTTCATTCATTCACAGTCCAAACAAATTACATATTTGGTGCTTTAATATGTTTATTGCCATTTTATTATAGTCATTCGCAATGAAACAGCATAAAATATTAATTTAAAGAGGCAATCGCATGGATTAGCTCTCAAAGTGGCACGTGCAGAATGGTTTTCAGAGGTTGCCCAACGATAGTCACCATTCATTCCCTAAAGACGTAATGAACTGACGTGAACAGAGACAACTGGTTCTGGAGCAGGGCTGGACCACAGCCTTTATACTGGATATCCCCAGCATCTGCTGGCAGCTCTGGGGCTGAAATGCTGCATCGGCACCTTCCAAAAGGCACCTGCTTGAAACATAAGGCCAAGATGCCCTGGTGAACTTCACAGGCCGAGCGGTGCTCAAATCACAAACACCTCACACACACACACACACTGTACTCAAGCAGATGGTTTCAGAAGTCCACGAGCTGGGTGAGTTTTTGCTTTTTGTTTTTCATTTTTAAAGCTTTGTTAGATGATAAGGAGATTTCCCTGGTAGCTCAGACGGTATAAAGAATCTGCCTGCGATGCAGGAGAGCTGGGTTCAATCCCTGAGGTGGGAAGATCTCCTGAAGGAGGGCATATTACGACTCGGTCGTGTGTGACTCTGCGATCTGATGGACTGGAGCCTACCAGGTTCCTCCATCCGTGGAATTTTCCAGGCAAGAATACTGGAGTGGGTTGCCATTTGAATCTCCAGGGATCTTCCTGACCCAAGGATCGAACCCCGTCTTCTGCATTGCAGGCAGATGCTTTATCCTCTGAGCCACAAGGGAAGCCCAGGTGACAAGGAGACTTCCCTGGTGGCTCAGATGCCATAAAGAATCCACCTGCAATGCAGGAGATTTGGGTTCACTCCTGGGGTCGGGAAGATCCCCTGAAGGGAATGGCAACCCACTCCAGGTATTCTTGCCTGGAAAATTCCACGGATGGAGGAGCCTGGCGGGTTACAGTCTGTGGGGTTGCAAAGAGTCGGACAAGACTGAGTGATTGAGACTTTGACACTTGCACTTTTCAAGGAGTGATTCTGAACACAAAATGGGCAACCCAGAGAGTGCTGCTGGTCCTCAGGCAAGGTGCTGATGAGGCCAATGCCGGTGGCCTTGCACGCCCACCCTGGACCCCAGATATCAGCTCACACCCAGCTCAGGACCAGGGCAGCAAACTCAGGGCTGGGCTGGAAGCACAGAGCCCACGGCAGAAGCCTCGGTAAAGCAGTCACTAGGGCCCTCCTCTGAGAGCCAAGTTCTCAGCAGCGCTCCCCCGAGAGGGAGCCAGAGTCACAGCAGGTGTGTTCCAGGTCTTGCCTTCCTGGGGGTAGTTAGGGGGTGGCAGGGGTCACACCAGCACATCTTTACAATGTTTAAAAGCGGAAAAGGAAGTGCTGTTCGCTAAACTTTGCTCCAGATGTATTTATGGAGATCGTATACGAACATACGGTATATTCTCTTTTGTTGTTCAGTCGCTGAGTCATGTCCGACTCCTTGCAACCCCATGAACTGCAGAACGCCAGGCTTCCCTGTCCTTCACTATCTCCCGAATTTGCTCAAACTCACGTGCATTGAGTCGGTGATGCCATCTAACCGTCTCACTCTCTGCCGCCCTCTTCTCCTTTTGCCTTCAACCTTCCCCAGTCACTAAGTGCTCACAAAAAACCGATTTGAGGGAGCACCGCTGTGTGCGTGTGTCTGACTGTGGGGGGGGGGGGCACTGACACCCCGCAGCCTAGGGCCACCCTGCCCACCAGGCGGCGAGCGGCCACCTAAACTGAAATCAGTTCAAGGCAAATGAAGTGATAAACTCGGTGCCTCACCTGCACCGCTCAACCGTCACCTGTGGACAGTACGGACCACGGCCACCACTGTAGAAGGTTCTGGAAAACAACAGTCCCTGTTGGCTGCTGGGACACACCCAAGGTGCCACTTGCACCTCCGTACCTGGCCTGGGCACTGCCCAGAGCCTCCTCAGCTCCTGACCTTTCAGTGTCTTGACAGCCAGCACGGGTCTTAAAGATCACGGGATGTTTATATAGAGACAGATCACACGGCATGTTCCTAACAAGAAACAACAAGTGAAGTCGGGCAGACTGTTCCCCGGGATCCACCACCTCCAGGCCCGGGTTTTCCTACACGTCGTGCAGCTCAGACCCAACTGCCCCACAGGGCTCAAACGGTTAAAACAACCCCTTCATCTCCGTCGTTTCAGCCGCCTCACACCTGGCCAGGTGCCGGAAGCGGAGACTAGGAGGACAAGGAACTCGCCTCTGGGCTGGGCAAAGAGCCCGAAGGACTCCCCCATGGCGCCTGCTCAGAGCGGGGCTGCAATGGAGGGAGGCCTTATATGCAGTCTAGAGCATCAGGGAAGGCTTCCTGGAGGAGGCACCACTCTGATGAGTCTTAAAAGGGATGAAGCTGGCCTGGACGGGAGGCCCAGAATCCTCTCCAAGGAGTAAAGATTAAAGATCACATCATGAAAAAACTCACTGAGTTTAGAAATCGAAAACAAGCTGAGAGGGGGTGTGAGCTCAAGGTTCACGTGGCTAATAAGGGTGATATGAGGCAGGAAGGGAAGGATACACTGCGGGAACATCAGTCCTTATAGCCCGGTGGCTGAGCCCCACGGGGGGTTACTCCCCACTTGGGCAGCCCCATGCCGTGGGCGTCAGTGGGAGGGGCTCTGTGGTCACCAAGGAAGCGGGCCAGCCAGACATCGTGTCCACCCTGCCTCTGTCACCACGAGAGACCAACTGGAAACCAGCCCCTTAAGTTCCCTCCAGGACGTGACCTGCCCCGCGGCCGCTCCTGACCCCTTGGCCAGAGCAAAGCATGTGGCCAAGTTTCACGTGGAAAGTGATGGGAGGCATCCGGGCTGTGGCCTGGGGATACAGAACCAGAACTGCCCACTGAGCAGTGATGATGAAAACTGAGGCAAGGAGCCCACCACCCCCACCCCCAATCCCTCCTGGCCCGCGGCTGGGTGTTTTGCACACAGCACACAGACATACACAGTGGCGGGCACTCTGGCCTCGTGGAAAGCTCACAGGTCAGTTTCCCCGAAGGCTTAAGCTCAGCTGCAGAGGCCGAGGTCTGGGGAGAACCCCTCACTGCCGGCACACGGATGCATCCCACGGTCCCGGGAAACAAGGCAGACCCTGTCCCCGCTCACTTACTATTGCAGACTGACGCCAAATTGCTGGGTGGGCAGAGGGGGCCTCGGTGGGGGTATCTTGGTGGGAGGGGGCAGCCTGCCGGCGTGCAGGTTCCGAAGCTCCTCGTCGTATCTGTGGACACAACAGAAGCTCTGCTGTCAGCCGGCAGGGGTGCAGCCTCGGGCCCCAAGGTGCTGCCGGTCACACGCCCCACAAGCATCTTCATCCCTTTTAAGACTCATCACAGCAGTACCTCCTCCAGGAAGCCTTCTCTGATGCTCTAGGGAGCATCTCGGGTCACACGCCCCTCAAGCATCTCCAGGATGGGACCCTGGGCGTCCCCTCCTTCCAGGCCCACATCTCAGTCTTGCACACACATACATAGACACACGCACCCTCACAAGCCCCTGTAGACATGGGCATTCACACAAAAGCCAGCCAGAGCAATCCAACCTCTGTCAAACAGCCATCCTCTCCTGCCAACCCCTAGCTGACACTTCACCCATGTGTCTACACAAGAGCTTCCCTCTGCTGGAAAGGGATTCTTCCCTGAACTCTCGATCTAGCCAATGGTCCCTTCAAAACTCACTTCAGGAGTCACCTCCTCCTGGAAGCCTCCCCTGATATTCCTTCCTCACAAGTCCCCTCCCCAGCTGGGTTCAGCACGTCTTTCGGGGACTTGTGGCCCCGTTACCCGAGAGTGTCCTGAGGGCGGATGCACTCCCTGTGGCGCTCTATATCCCCAGCTCCTGCCATGGGACTTGGGGCCCAGAGGGAGGGAGCCACCTCCACTCCCCCTGCAGGGCTTCCTCAAAGGAGCCCCCCCGAGAGCGGGATGCAGAGGGCAGAAGGGCATGGGGCAGGGCTCAGAGACTGGGCTCCACTTGGGCTGATGGAGGGGCCCTGGGCTGACCACACGCCTTCCTGGGCTCCCTCCCGCTACCTGAGCCCCTGTCGGAGGAGGGGACTGCTGCCTAGAAGACAAAGCAGCAGACCCATCAGCTAAACTTCCACCCAGAAGCACCAGGCCGGTGGTTCTGAGAACACTTGCCCCAGTCCTGGGAGTGTTTCACGCCACACGCGCGTCATCCACACACCCCAGAAAGTCCCTCATTCTCCGCCCCGAAGCCAAACCGGCCAACACCACGGCAGCAAACAGCAGTTACCAGCGCGGCTTATTTGTTTAATAAGTTTTGCAGCGGTGGGTGAGAGAAACATCTCATCCTTGTATGTACACAGCCATCCCTGCCTTGCCTCTCTGAGTCAGCAGTCAGCATCTTTTACGGCGCATCCTTGTGGAGGCGGCAGATTCAGGAACCGGATCTGGCCATGCACACGAATGGAAATGAAGCTTTCAACGTGAGGGGAGGCAGGGGTGGGCGGATGTGGACGGCACAGTGGTCTCACTCACCGCAGAACCTCCTGGGGGATGCTCAGCTGGTCATATTTGAGGTGTTCACGGAGCTCGCTCAGATAGTTGAAATAGGTGACTTTTTTCCCAAACTTGTGACTAAAAAAGAAAAAAGACAGAAGAAAGTTGAAAAAAAAAAAGATTAGGAGGCAGGAAAGAGGCCGGGAGGCCAGGGGGAGCGGGCTGCCGGGCGGGAGCCCTGGAGCAAACAGCCTGGCATTTTTCATGTTAAAGAAGCATAAATGCTGACACCACCCAAACGCAGAGCAGAGCGGAAGCAGCGCACATCTGGCAAATGCTCTGCTTCCATCAGACCTCAGACGCACCCAGCCTGCTGGAGAGCCTCATTGGCATAAAATCAGTGTCTGCCTCCAGGGTGAGCGGCTGGGAACCTGCGGGCCACACGCAGAGTGGGTCCCAGCGCCGGGCTTCTGGGGTCGGCGGTGGCCTCAGCTTTGAACATCCCACCAGGCTTCTCTCTACGAAGCTAGAGTCACATCCCCGCAACTGTGGGGACCAAGCAAGACACCCTCCAATTTCCATCTAGGACAGTCACTCTTGGGGCTCATGATGGCGTGAGGATGACGACGCAGACAAGCCCTGGCTAAAGCCACTTGCTTCCCGTCGAAAGCGGGGTTCCCTGATGCAAAGAGTACGACGGTCTACATGAACCAGCCCACTGTCTGATGCCTGGCGGATGGTGCGGCCTGGGACCATCACTAATAACGAGACTCAGGACTTCCCTGGCGGTGCAGGGGTTAGGATGCTGAGCTTCCATTGCAGGGGGCGCAGGTTCGATCCCTGGGTCAGGAACTAAGATCGTGCATGCCTCATGGCTTGGCAAAAAAAAAGTTGTTAAATTAAAAAATATATATATTGGACTTCTCTGGTGGCTCAGTGGTAAGGAATCTGACTGCTAAAGCAAGAGACACGGGTTCGATCCCTAATCTGGGAGGAACCCACATGCCTCAGATCGATTAGGCCCAGGCGCCACGACTGATGAGCCTGTGCCCTAAAGCCCGGGAGCTGAAACTACTACTAAAGCACAAGCACCCTAGAGCCTGTGCAACAAGAGAAGCCACAGCAATGAGAAGCCCGCACATCACAACAGAGAGCAACCCCCACCGGCCACAGCCAGAGAGAGCTGGAGCAGCAAGGGAGGCCCAGCACAGCCCAAAATAAGTAACTGATTAAAAAAAAACACCGAGCTTCAGTTTCCCCAACCGCAAAGTGAGGAGAAGCAGAGGACGCTGGGCTGGGTGAGAAGGTCCCTGCTGGGCCCAGACGACCCCCTGTGACACCACCTGCCTGCTCCGCTGCTTACAGCTTCACCGCTTTGTCCCCGACGCCCGCACGGCTGGACGGATTTCACCTGCACCAGTCAATGAGCTTGCACACGTCGTACACTGCGAAACCATCCCACAACCAGGTCACAACGTGACCATCGCCCCGAGAGGCTTCCGTGTGCTCCTTGGCTGTGCGTGCGTGTGTGCACGTGCGTGGTGAGAACACTCGCCCCGAGGTGTGCCCTCTCCAGGACTTCTCCAGTAGGTGACACCGCGCCATCAGCCCAGGGTATCACCTCCCATAACCCAAGCAGCTGTCTTATCCCAGACCCGCCGGAGCCCGGAGCCCACGGGAGGCCGAGCCGCGGGCACCGGCTGCCCCCTAGTGGAGGAGAAGGAGGAGGCCCATCAGGTGCCCAGGCCCCCAGCCGTACCCACCCAGCTTCTGGGGTGAGTGACACTCATCTTGAGCGGCACACCAAGGCCAGGGGACCGAGCTGACCTGCACAAACCCTCCCTGCCCCGGAGAAGACAGCAGGGAGCTGGGCTCGGGCTGCCGGCACGCCACATGCCTTTTCCAGATCCTACCCGCATCCTACCCTGTAAAGGCTGGAACCGTAAGTATGACAGCTTTCCCGAGTTCTGGGAGTGCTCATGGGGAGTCCCTGACCTGAGGCAGTCTCACGACCCCGACACAGATACATGATGTGGGTGCTCAGGAAAAGGGGGCTATAAAAGGTCGGAGCTAACCTCACTGGGGTCGCGAGCCGAGGCTCCTGTTCGTGACCGTCAGCCCTGTGATCCGACACAGCCAGGAGGCGGGCGATTACCCCAGAGCAGGACTGCCTGGGTGTCTGGATGGGCCGGGCTGTCTGACTCCAGGGAGACCCCCACGGAGAGCGGCTCGTACCTGACAAGGGGCTTCAGGATGGTCCACAGGATTTTGATGAAGTTGGTGGGGTGCACGACATACAGGGCCTTCAGGTTCTTCTTGTACCTGAGGAGGGAGACGGAGGAGGTCTCAGAGCACGCACACAGAGACACCCTGGGCTGGAAAAGGAACTGCAGCGCGGTGGCCTCGACAGCGAGTCTCAGAACCTTCCATTCCTTTTTTTTTCTTTTTTATATTTTATTTATCTACTTATTCGGCTGCCTTGGGTCTTCGTTGCAGCGTGCAGGCTTAGTTGCTCCACGGCATGTGGGATCTTAGTTCCCCGACAAGGAATCAAACCCTAGAACTTCAGCTTGGAAGGCGGATTCTTAAACCCTGGACCACCAGGACAGTCCCAACCTTCTGTTTCTGGACAGTCGATTTAAGGACATAGAAGGAGAAAATGAGGACCCCATGCCCATCACTGGCAGTGTGCACACGGCACTTTACAGTTTGCAAGATCAGAGCCCCCCACTCATAGATGCTCACACCGGGCCTGGGGGCGGGGACACACTGGCAACTTGGCAACAATCCCCGCTCCGCAGGGAACTGGCCTGGGCCAGGGTGGAGCCGCGACCCCCCAACCTCCATCATGCGACAGCACTAGGCACCCCCCTTCAATGAGGTGCTTCTTAGCCGACTTCCCTTCCTCTTTCGTGGTTAATTCAGTCCAGAGCCATCAGGCAGAGCCAAGAAGGTTGGCGTCCACCCAGGGCTGGAGGGAGGGGGCGGGCCCGCTGGGGTCTGTGACGCCAGCAAGGGGCTGGCAGCCTGGTGGGGAGGGGGTGTCCCAGAGGGAGAAGGGCGTTCACATTTGGGTAGGCCAGGGACACCCTCAAGCCAGCTCTTTGCCCTTCAAAGAGCTGACTGCCAGAATTTCAGCCATTCGGGGAGCCAGCTGTGAAAAACAGCCGTTATTCAATAACGTCAACTCACAATTAAGTAAATCATATGAAACACGAAGGTCACGACACAAACGGTCCAACCTCACTGACTCCTGATCACTCCATGACATTTACTATCTGCTGTGCCCCTGGGCTCCTTCGCCTGTTACATCCCAGGGGTGGGAGGGTCCACAAGAAGGGATGGCCACCATCTCCTCCCAGTTCCGTGTCCAGCAGGGCCACGTAGGCCACTTGGAACTGGTCGCAGTTGCAGGACTGACACCACGGGAATCTGCAAACATCACCCATCAGTCTCCCCAAGTCCCCGGGAGCTGATTGGTAAGGCAGACGCGAGCGAGGGGGGTGGACAGGAAGTCCAGCACGAGGTGTCTGTGCCCAGGCAGGCGGAGGACGGTGGGGGCTGAGAAGGGACCCGGCATTTGCAACCAACTGTGGGAGCAAGAAGGGGGCAGCCACGGCAGCCTGGTGTGGGCATCAGCCCAGGGGACACGGGCAGGAGCGGTGTGGGGGCGGGGCAGCCCCGGCGGTAACAGAGCCTCAGCGAGTGAGAGGTGGCCTTGCAATCAGCCACAGGCAGGCCAAGTAGGAGCGGTGGGTTCCCAGGCGGCACAGTGGCAAAGAATCCCCCTGCCAGTGCAGAAGACACAAAGAGACGTGGGTTCAACCCCGGGTCTGGAAGATCCCCTGCAGGAGGAAATGGCAACCCACTCCAGTATTCTTGCTGGGAAATCCCATGGACAGAGGAGCCTGGTGGGTTACAGTCCGCGGGGTCGCAGAGAGTCAGACCCCACTGAGCGCCCGAGCACGCACAAAGGCCGTGGGAGCCAGGCTCTTCCTGGTGGAGAAGAGATGTTACGAATGCAGGGAGGGGGAAAGTAGAATGAGCCCTGGTGGGAAAGGATGGGAACTAGTATAGATGTCGGTGTGAACACGCAGGTACCAGGAGAAACAGGTAAATGCAAACATGACGGACATTGATGTGTGCGTGCACGTGTGTCTGTGTATATGCACACACACACACCGCAACTGTCCACTGACTCGCCTGCGAGCCCTGACAGCCCAATAGCAACTAACACACTGCTTCCAGGGCCGGGTTCCTAGGACCGTCCGCCCTTAATGGAACCAAGGCCCAGAGAAACGGCGGATTCCTGGGCTGGTGCGCGCGCACGGGTGTGCCAAGCTGCTTTTAGTCATGTCCAACTCTGCGTCCCCATGGACTGCAGCCCGCCCGGCTCCTCTGTCCATGGGATTCTCTGGGCAAGAATACTGGAGTGGGTTGCCATGTCCTCCTCCAGGAAATCCTCCCGACCTGGAGATCAAACCTGCATCTCTTACATCCCCTGTAGTGGCAAGCGGGTTCTTTACCACTAGCGCCACCTAGGAAGCCACCTGGGATGTGCCCGGAGCATCTCATAGTCCTAGAAAGTAAAGGAGGCGCTCGGAGGGACAGGGACGTGTCTGTGGGACACAGGAGCCAGGCTGACGCTCACCTGGCCAAGTTTCAACAATTTGAGTGTTAGGATAAATATAGTCATGGATTATAAACTATTGAATAAAATGGGAGATCCCAAGTCCATACGGATATAAATAAATCAAAAGAGAAAGCTCTTCGATAAAGTAAAATGCCAACTAAGAGCCCCAGTCACCATTAGCCACCCATCTTAATAATAATTAAGCCAAGAAATGACAAGGGAGGCAAAAGTTAGCACATAAAACTGATATTTATACAGTCTCAGAGTATCTCCCGAAGGAATATTAATTAATTATCAGAAAAAAAAAAAACAGTCTTGCGATTCAGAAGGAGGAAGTTGCAGTGACTTTCAGGTGGTCCAAGGACCCAGAGCACAGCTGTTACAAAGTCCATCCCTATAGGAAGGTGGGTTCTATTAGGTGTCACCCACGGCAGGAGCACCGGCACCCCTAGAAGGGGGTCACGTACATCCCTGGGTGGATGGTTCTTCCTTAAAGGAGCAACCTGGCAGAACAGTTTGGAAGATGAGAAGTCAAAAGCAGAGAGAATAGAAAAAGATGCAGGAAACCTACTGTATCCTTGTAGTGTTGTAGTTGATGCTGGATGGAAAATCTTTGCTGTATATTCGCATCCAATTCGATTTGGAGCTCTGCTTACATACCTCCACTGATGGGGAACTCACTACCTCTAGCAGGCACTCCACTATTAGGTGGATTTGAAGCCTAGGATGCCCCTCCTTAGGGGACATATAGCCAAGATCTATAATTCTACTTTTTCCCCCAGTCCACCTTTAAGAGAAGTGAGAGAAACAAAATAAGTTCACTACCTTTCATTTGAAAATTTATCTGTTTTAGCTCAAGACAGGCATATACACATATCCTTCCACTGTCAGCCTGAGCTTATGGAAAAGATCTCTTTGAAAATGCTGTTTGCTTCTTCTCAAGAATCACGGGGCTTCCCAGGTGGCGCTAGTTGTAAAGAACCTACCTGCCAATGCAGGAGATGCAAGAGACACGGGTTCGACCCCTGGGTCAGGAAGATCCCCTGGAGAAGGAAAACGGCTACCCACTCCAGTATTCCTGCCTGGGAAATTCCATGGACTGAAGAGTCCAGCGGGCTACCATCCATGGGGTCACAAAGAGTCGGACACCACTGAGCAGGCTTGCGTGGCTGCCCACTCCGCCCTAGATGACAGTGCTGGACAGAGGCCCCTGGCCCTGAGGGGCGGTCACCCTAATGCCCCGCCTGGCCCTTGGGGTCCTGCCCTCGCCTACAGCACAGCCAGAACCCCTCCTGTCACCTGAGCCTCCCCCTCACTCAGCCGGACACCTGAGGTTCCCCTTCACCCCACCCAAGGCTGGAGGGCACCCACCTCCTGTCAAACTCCTTGTAGGCGCTCTGGAGCCAGCGAAGGGACGGCTTGTTCCGGCTGCTCAGCCCGTAGTGGAAGTAGATGATGGTGTAATCGCTCTCCACGTACTGGTCCAGCGTGTACTTCAAATACCTGGGCACGGAGCACAGGAAATGGTTGTGAACATCTCATGCTGATGGAAACCAAATACGCCTTCCCTGTAATGGAGCTGTGGGCACCCAGCGAGTGCCAACACCAGGCCATGCGGCGCGCTTCCAGGCCAACGCTGAGAATCCGCCTGCAGCGGGCCTGGTCCTCATTCCTTCCTCGTTCTTGTTTGGCTGTGCTGTGCTGCTTGCAGGCTCTTGTGTGGCATCTGGGAGCTTAGTTCCCTGACCAGGGGTCGAAAACAAGCCCCCTGCATTGGGAGCACGGAGTTTTAACCACTGGACTGCCTGGAAGTCCCCTATTCTCATTTCTTAAATGATAACTAAGGCTCAGAGATGTTAAGTAACTTACCTAACTTTTCCCTCCCTCCACAGTCAGGGAGTGGAAGTGATGGCTTGAAAGTGGCCCCCAAAAGACTTCCAATGTCAAATCCCCAGAACCCACGAATGTGGCCTTACTTGGAAAAGGCTCTTGGTAGACGTGATTAAGACAAGGCTCATCAGAGCAGTTAATCCTGGATTATCCACATCAGTTCAGTTGCTCAGTTGTGTCCGACTCTTTGCGACCCCATGGACTTCACCACGCCAGGCCTCTCTGTCCATCACCAACTCCTGGAGTTCACTCAAACTCATGCACATTGAGTCGGTGAGGCCATCCTCTGTCGTCCCCTTCTCCTCCTGCCCTCAATCTTTCCCAGCATCAGGGTCTTTTCAAATCAGTGAGCTCTTCGCATCAAGTGGTCAAAGTATTGGAGTTTCAGCTTCAACATCAGTCCTTCCAATGTACATTCAGGACTGATTTCCTTTAGGATGGACTGGATGGATCTCCTTGAAGTCCAAGGGACTCTCAAGAGCCTTCTCCAACACCGCAGTTCAAAAGCATCAATTCTTCGGCGCTCAACTTTCTTTACAGTCCAACTCTCAACATCCATACACAACAACTGAAAAAACCATAGCCTTGACTAGACAGAACTTTGTCTGCAAAGTAATGTCTCTGCTTTTTAATATGCTGTCTAGGTTGGTCTTAACTTTTCTTCCAAGGAGTAAGTATCTTTTTATTTCATGGCTGCAGTCACCATCTGCACTGATTTTGGAGCCCCCCCAAAATAAAGTCTGCCACTGTTTCCACTGTTTCTCCATCCTTTTGCCGGGAAGTGGTGGGACCAGATGCCATGATCTTTGTTTTCTGAATGTTGAGCTTTAAGCCAACTTTTTTCACTTTCCTCTTTTACTTTCATCAAGAGCCTCTTTAGTCTTTCTTTACTTTCTGCCATAAGGGTGGTGTCATCTGCATATCTGAGGTTATTGATATTTCTCCCAGCAATCTTGATTCCAGCTTGTGCTTCATCCAGCCCAGCATTTCTAATGATGTACTCTGCATATAACTTAAATAAGCAGGGTGACAATATACAGCCTTTGACATACTCCTTTTCCAATTTGGAACCAGTCTGTTGTTCCATGTCCAGTTCTAACTGTTGCTTCCTGACCTGCATATAGGTTTCTCAAGAGGCAGGTCAGGTGGTCTGGTATTCTCATCTCTTTCAGAATTTTCCACAGTTTATTGTGTTCCACACAGTCAAAGCAAGAATCCCTTAGAAGAAATGGAGTAGCTGTCATAGCCAACAAAAGAGTCTGAAATGCAGTACTTGAATGCAATCTCAAAAACGACAGAATGATCTCTGTTCGACTCCAAGGCAAACCATTCAATATCATGGTAATCCAAGTCTATGCCCCAACCAGTAATGCTGAAGAAGCTGAATTTGAACGGTTCCATGAAGACCTACAAGACATTCTAGAATTAACACTCAGAAAAGACGTCCTTTTCATTATAGGGGACTGGAATGCAAAAGTAGGAAGTCAAGAAACACCTGGAGTAACAGCAAATTTGGCCTTGGAGTACGGAATGAAGCAGGGCAAAGGCTAATAGAGTTCTGCCAAGAGAACGCACTGGTCATAGCAAACACCCTCTTCCAACAATACAAGAGAAGTCTCTACACATGGACTTCACCAGATGGTCAACACCGAAATCAGACTGATCATATTCTTTGCGGCCAAAGATGGAGAAGCTCTACACAGTCAGCAAAAACAAGACCGGGAGCTGACTGTGGCTCCGATCATGAACTCCTTATTGCCAAATTCAGAAATAAATTGAATAAAGTGGGGAAAACCACTAGACCATTCAGGTATGACCTAAATCAAATCCCTAAGGATTATACAGTGGAAGTGAGAAATAGATTGAAGGGACTAGATTTGATAGAGTGCCTGATGAACTATGGACAGAGGTTCGTGACATTGTACAGGAGACAGGGAGCAAGACCATCCCCAAGAAAAAGAAATGCAAAAAAGCAAAATGTTTGTCTGAGGAGGCCTTACAAATAGCTGTGAAAAAAAGAGAAGCAAAAAGCAAAGGTGAAAAGGAAAGATAGTCCCATCTGAATGCAGAGTTCCAAAGAATAGCAAGAAGAGATAAGAAAGCCTTCCTCAGAGAGCAATACAAAGAAATAGAGGAAAACAATAGAATGGGAAAGACTAGAGATCTCTTTAAGAAAATTAGAGATACCAAGGGAACATTTCATGCAAAGATGGGCTCAATAAAGCACAGAAATGGTATGGACCTAACAGAAGCAGAAGATATAAAGAAGAGGTGGCAAGAATACACAGAAGAACTGTACAAAAAAGATCTTCACGACCCAGATAATCAAAATGGTGTGATCACTCACCTAGAGCCAGACATTCTGGAATGTGAAGTCAAGTGGGCCTTAGGAAGCATCACTACGAACAAAGCTAGTGGAGGTGATGGAATTCCAGTTGAGCTATTTCAAATCCTAATGGATGATGCTGTGATCAATATGCCAGCAAATTTGGAAAACTCAGCAGTGGTCACAGGACTGGAAAAGGTCAGTTTTCATTCCAATCCCAAAGAAAGGCAATGCCAAAGAATGCTAAAACTACTGCACAACTGCACTCATCTCACATGCCAGCAAAGTAATGGTCAAAATTCTCCAAGCCAGGCTTCAACAATATGTGAATCATGAACTTCCAGATGTTCAAGCTGGACTTAGAAAAGGCAGAGGAACCAGAGATCAAATTGTCAACATCTGCTGGATCATCGAAAAAGCAAGAGAGTTCCAGAAAAACATCTATTTCTGCTTTATTGACTGCCAACACCTTTGACTGTGTGGATTATCCAGGGCGGGTGGGTGAGGGGTCGGCGGGGGGCACTAAATGCAACCTCTCATATCCTGGTAAGATGGCTCAAAAGAGGGAAAGTCACAGAGCGGAGTCAGCCACGTGAAGACAGACGCAGAGCAGAGAGCAATGTGGCCAGCGGGCCGGGAGGGTGTGAAATTGCCGACAGCCACCCCAGCAGAAGCTGCAAGAGGCAAGAAATGTTCCCCTGCTGGAGGCGAAGCTTCCCCTGGGGGGCCTGCGGCCCCGCTGACGGGACACCGTGCCTTCAGACTCCCGGCCCCCACGACTGGGGGAGAATCAATGTGCTGCTTTACACCACTCAGTGTTTGGTGATTTGTTGCAAGGGCCACAGGAAACTGACACAGTGGATGAACTGGGATTCAAACCCAGGACTAACTCAGCCCCTCCACTTCAGACTCCTTGCTGTCCGGCTGTCTGTCTAGAAGCAAGCGATTCCTCCTTTTCAGATTCGCTCCTAGCATGCTTTCTCTTGGGCTTCCCAGGTGGTGCTAGTGGTAAAGAATCCATCTGCCAATGCAAGGGACGTGGGTTAGATCCCCTCGGTCGGGAAGATCCCCTGGAGGAGGAAGTGGCCACCCACTCCAGTATTCTTGCCTGGAGAATCCCATGGACAGAGGAGCCTGGCGGGCTACAGTCCACGGGGCCACAGAGAGTTGGACACCACTGAACATGCACAAACACGTTTTCTTTTCACTGGAAAGCAGACCCACTTCCGTCCTTTGACCGTGCTCCACAGGATAAGCTCTACAAATCCCACGGCCACGCTCCAGGCTACAGAGCGTGCTTCCTCCCGGCCATGCGCACGTGACCTGCCTGAAAAGCCCTCGTCCAGCCACCTGCACTTGAGCTGCAGATGGAGCTCTCCTGACCCTGTCAGCAATCTGCCTCGCGACGTCCAGCTGGTTTGGCCAGGTTCTCGCACCTCGAGTGGTCTGAGACATTCATCATCTAGAAGCACAGCCCATGATTAATCCGGCCCGGTGCTCCAGGAATTCAGGCACAGCTTCTCTGAGTGGGTGGTGGGACCACAGCCGCCTTCCCTGGGAGCCTGGCAAACACAGCCTGAAAGAGCCCAGGGGCCATTCTATCTGCAGCAGCTGGTGGAGGATCATTTAACAAACTAGTCAGATGCCTGGGGTCCCAGGAATTCTCATGAAACAAGTAGCCCAAAGGCTTCCAGATGCGTCTACGATCCAACTGTGCCTTCGTTCACTTGGGAGTTTGGGGCTCCAGGCCACAGTGGCAGCTTCGCGCTGTGGCTGAGCTTTCTCGGTTGAGAGAAAAGTGGATCTGGAAGCAGTGATGGCAGAGTTCAGGCCACCGAGCCATCCCAGCAGTGGGCGAGCCCGCCCTGGGCCAGACTTCGCTCCTCTGTCCCTCACAAAGGGACAAAGACATTCCCAGGGATGCCCAGCGCCGGGCCAGGGCTTGACCAAGTGAGTGAAGAGCCATTGGCACGTGGCCGGAGAGGAGAATCCGATGGCTGAGCAGGAAATGCCCAGGACATGGTGTCCAGGAAAGTCACACGGGCCCGGCAGGTAACCTGGGCGGGGACTTGGCCCCCAGCAGGACCCGCTGGGTGGGAGGGCACTTCGCTCGATTTCAAGCAGCCTCGGTGGCCTCGGCATGCAGCTTTCTCCTCCCCGGACGGAGCCTCTCACCAGACCTGAGGTCGCCTAATCACTGGGGCGACTCTGGGTGGGAGCTTTGCAAAGGGGACCGCGCCAGCTCTCCCGACGCTCTTGGGGTCCGGCCGGGGAGGGGGCCCCCGGGGCCAGCGCGGCCGCACAGAGAGCAGGGACAGGATGCAGGACGAGGCCACCGCAGGTCAGGGGTAGTGGGGAGGGGCCGCCTCCCGAGGGGACGCAGAGGGCCGCCTGTGTGGCTTGGAGGGGGGTCAGGCATTGGTCCTGCGTGGGGGACTGTCCCCTGGCACTGATGACACCCCCTGGGGGACCCGAGAGTCTGTCAGGATCTGTTAGCCTTTGACCCTTAACATCCACTCTGTGCTGAGAGTGACGGAGAGGCACCTACCCAGGGAGACGGACACACGTTGCGGGGGGGGGGGGGGGGGCTACGCAGGGGGGGCGGTGGCGGGGGGGGGCATGCAGGGCACAGGACACTTACTCCAGCAGCCGCCTGTGGTTGAGCTCGTGGGACGGGGGCATCCGGCAGCAGCAGAACGTGACGACTCGCCTTCCGAAGCGGTCCTCCCCTGCGGGGCAGACGGGTGTGAGCCCCAGTCCCCACCTGACACCGGAGGCTGCTGTCTCCCGCCGCACCCTCCGGCCATCACCAAAGACAGCCTCCGTCCAGCCCACCGGTCAGAGGCACAGGCAGGCGGGGTGAGGGGGCAGCATCACCTGCCAGGTGGGTGCTGCTACTTGAGGCTCTGGGTGCCTCGGCCAAGGTCGCCGTCACCACCCCCTGCGCCCCAGAGCACACGCTTGCTGAGCCCGGGGCTCAGACGAGGGCCCACAGTCATTTCCTGACTGCCGGAAGGACTGGTTACAGGAAGACTGTGTCTGTGCTCAAGTCGTGTCTGCCTCTTCGCGACCCCATGGTCTGTAGCCTGCCCGGCTCCTCTGTCCACAGGATCCTCCAGGCAAGAGTACGGGGGGATGTGGAGTGCCCTTTCCTCCTCCAGGGGATCTTCCCGACTCGGGGATCGAACCCGCGTCTCCTGCTTGGGCAGGTGGATTCTTTACCACTGAACCACCTGGGAAGCCCTGCAGGAAGGTTGTCAGAAAACAGAAAGGTGCCCTTCCAGAAGTGTCCATGACTCTGAACTCACTGTAACTCACCGTAAACAAGTATTTACAGCTGCTGTCAGATGTTTGCTTAAAGTAAGAAATCACAGCGGAGCATCTTCGTTCCTCCGCCCACCCCGCCCCAGCTCTCAAAGGCAGCGCGTCAGGCTCTCACGCCTGGCCAGGATGGCTGCTTGCTATTTAGGGCACATCCGCTTCTCCCAGGAGCCCGCGAGCCACTCCAACCTTCAGAACGCAAGAGTCATTTTGGTTGCCAAAGACAGCGGCCTTTTCACAGGTTCCTTGAGAATTCTGGTCATGGCTTCTGTTTGTTTAGAAGGCGCTTGTTGAAAGGGCTGCCGGGGGCCCAGGCATTTATCTTCTTCCCTTGCCAGCCGGGCATTTCCGTCTGGGCACAAACCCTTCGATGGCTGTGCCTGGAGGTACAGAGTGTTTTCCAGACAATGTTTCTAGCATCATGGCGGCCAGGCTCCACGGCTCACCTGAGCCTGTGTTCGCCTGCGAGAGGGAGGAAAAGGACGACTTTGCTCCTGAAGATGTGAACTGTTTTGTGTGGCGACTGGAGGAGTAGGGAATTAATGCCCCTGGCGCTGAAAGAGAAGGTCGACCTTCACGCGGAGATGTCAGTATAGGAACCAGACCAAGTGGAGAGTCTTGGGGACGTGCTGAGTGATTGGTCAACGGGAGGCCAGGCCAAGACACACTCACTGCGGGTTCACTGTGCGCCCAGCTCTAGAGAGAAAAGGCCAGACATGGTCCCCACGGGTCCACGGTCCATGGTCCACGGCCGAGGGGAAAGGACAGTCAGTGATAGGGTGCTGGGGGTCTTAGCTCAGCTCTGCGATCCCCTCTCTGGAAACCTTCAAGGGCTCCAGCAGCCACATCCATCTCCGCAGGGACTTCCCAGGTGAGGGCGCTTCCTCCACAGACCGGCCCTCACTTCAGACACCAGCTATGCGTCGGGGGTCTCCAGGCCTCCCTACTTCTGTCCAGCTGCCTATAGATTCCAAGGTTCCCACTACCCCCCCTACAGCTGATTGTTCATTGGCTCACAGAACTCTGGAAAGTGCTAGACTTCAATCAGCTTTCTCATAAAGGATACAAGTCAGAACCAGGCAAGAGGGGAGATCCACCGGGAGTCAGGCAGCCCTGGGCCGGCCTCTCTGCTACTTGGCAACATGGGGGTAAGAGACCTGCCTTTGGGGGGAACAGGAAGACCTGCACCCATCATTGGAATAAAGCCTTACTGAGCTGGCACACAGCAGGTGCTGATAAAGGTGACCTGTTAATTACCACATGCCTGGAAGGATGGTGGGTGCGTGCAGGTGTGCTGTTTCATTGGCAGGTGAGAAAAACCGGGGTCCAGAGACACTAGGTGAGTGTCAGAGTTGAGCTCCTGCTCACAGCTGGCTGGCTTCTGGGGCAGCACCCTCAGGCCGGCCTCCTCTGCCCCTAACGTTCCCTCCTATGAAGGAGGCCGTCACAGCCCTGAAGCCCCCGCAGCCCTGAGGAATCCCCAGGACCCCCGGGCTCCCGCCCACTGAGCAGCTGCCAGGCGTCTGCGTTAACCACCCCCATTAGGATGAGTCAAGGCCCTCCCGCTTGTCAGCAACACAGGCCAACGTATGGAAAACAGGCTTCAAAATGATGTCATATGGGAGGAAATGAAAACTATCAATAAAATGCAAACTCTACAAAGGACCAGTTTAATTCACGACCCCATCTTCTCCCCTTGCTGGTTCACAACACAACATTGCTCACGGTCTCTGAGACGGAGAAGCCCCGTTTCTGCAGAAAGAAATGAGTCCCGTGACATGCCCAGCCCATCCATCACCAGCTCCGAGAGAGGAGGATGGTTAAAATGCATAATAAGGCACAGCGACCTCCCCCCCCCCTCCCCGGACCAACGTGGGGGCGTGTCTGAGTTTTAAGGTGGCTAACCTTTTACTGCGGGAGTGAAAGGGGATTCTGGCCACCCCGCGGGGACTCACCTGCCACCTGCAGGATGCCGTGTCGGGCCACGTCATAGAAGGGGTGGTTCATGCTCAGCTCGAGGTCCGGGCCAGCCGGGGGTGCCACAGAAGGTGCCGCCGAGGGCCTTCTCGCGGCACGAAGGGCGGCGGCCTCCTCCTCATCTCTCTGCAGCTCTGCAGCAGACGGCAGTGTTAGGGGAGGTCACTGCGTTCCCCAGGAAGAAGGACAGCGAGGGAGCCGCCTGACGCCTTTTAACAGGACGCGCACCTCGCCTTGCTGTGCACCCACTATGCGCCCACTCACTGCACCCACCACGTGCCCACTTGATGTGCACCCACTACATGCCTACCTCTGCTGTGCACCCACTATGCACCCATCTCTGCTGTGCACCCACTACACGCCCATCTCTGCTGTGCACCCACTACACGCCCATCTCTGCTGTGCACCCACTATGCGCCCATCCCTGCTGTGCACCCACTACGCGCCCACTCAGTGTGGACCCACTACACGCCCATCTCTGCTGTGCACCCACTACGCGCCCACTCAGTGTGGACTCACTACACGCCCATCTCTGCCATGCACCCACTATGCACCCACTCACTGTGCACGCATTATGTGCCTGTCTCTGCTGTGTACCCACTATGTACCCACCCACTGCACGCCCACTCGCTGTGCCCCCACTATGCATCCACTCGCTGTGCCCCCACTGTGTGCCCACCTCTGCCGTGCTCAGTACACAGCACCATGGAAAGAGTAAAATGACCCCGGGGGCTGGACACTGTCCTCTGCACTGACAGCAGGGGTAACTGAGGCTCAGAGGAGAGAATGACCCTGGGGTCACACTGCCAGTTGGCAGCAAGGTGTGGACCTGAGCTTGATTTCCCAGCTCTGAATTCTGACTTAGGCCCTTCCTGGGAGATGCTGACCCTGGTGGCCGGCAGGAAGCCAAGGCTGAGGTGAAGGGCAGTAGCTGGGGTCCCTGTGCTGCGAGGCAGGAAGAGAGGGCTGCCTTCCAAAGTTTAGTTTTAGTACAGAAGGTTCCTTCATACAAAACAAATCCAGGTTCCTTCAGAAATGTTTTCAGTTGGAAAAAGAGCGGGAAATTCAAATTTCGGGTGAGGGTAGACTTCAGTCTCCAGATACACTGGATGAATAGTGTGACCACAGAATTTAAGTCTACCCAGAAACCCATGATATGAACTTGTTTGGAAACAGTGTCTTTAGAGATGAAATGAGTTAAGGTGAGGTCACACTGGATTAGGGTGGACTTTAAATCCAATGCCATGTCCTTACAAGAAGAGGAAAAGGGCTTCCCTGGTGGTGCAGTGGTTAAGAATTCTCCTGCCAACGCAGAGGACACAGGTTCAGTCCCTGCTCCAGGAAGATCCCACGTGCCTCCAGGCAATTAAGCCCGTGCCCACAGCTACTGAGGCCCTGCACCGCAACTACTGAGGCCCTGCACCGCAACTACTGAGGCCCACGTGCACCCCAGCGGGAGGCCCACACACTGTAACGAGGCGTGGCCCCCGCTTGCCGCAAGTAGAGAAAGCCTGCGAGCCGCAGTGAAGACCCAGCACTGCCAAAACTCAAAATAAATAAATTAAAAAAAAAAAAAAAAAGAAGAGGAAAGGACACAGAGACCCAGAGAGGAAACGGACAATCTCCTCCTAGGACGGGGCTGAAAGAGAACATACTTTACCTATTTCGGCCAGCTCCTCCAGGTCCAGCCCGGACATGCTCTGCTGGGGCGTAGGGCGGCCCGGAGGCACCGTCCGGACGCTGCCTCCCGAGGATCCAGGCATGGAGTCCTTCCGACACCCTGAGGGAGAAGCACATGGAATTGGCGAACATTTAATGCAAGGGCTCCGAGCGTGAGGAATAAAGGAGCGCCCTTCACGTGGCCTGCTTGCTCTTCAATTTCTCTCCTTGACAAAGAAAAAGCAGCCACCTCCGATTCGCCTGGACCTCAGGTCTCTTTAGTGTTTGGCGATCAGCCTGCCCAGCGCACCCCCTCACCCCCGGCCCGTGGGAAACTTGCCCCTCGAGGAACGACGTGAGGTCCTGGGAGCTGGACCCTTGGATGGTGGCATCCACCCCGTGTTTGGGCTCCTATATCCGACCTCCTCCTCTGCAGGTCCTGCCCACTGATGAGTGCACGTGGACTGGGCACCCCCTGCCCAACAGCCCCACGTCCCAGGAGAGCAGGGCAGAGGGCAGTGGAGGGGGGAAGGGACGTGGAGAGAGAACAGCATCTTGCCTTCTTCCCCACCGCCTCGCAGATTCACACACTCACTCCTGTACCCACTTTACAGAGGGGGCGACTGAGGCCGGCAAAGATCACTCAGAGCGGCGCAGGGGTAATCACCACCAGCTAAGAGTTTCACCTGGTTATTCTGTGCCCCAGATGCTGATTCAAAACCTGTGCAAATCTTTACATTACTATCCAAACGACGAAATATTATGGTACATAAAAAGGAATGAAGTATGGACACCTGCTACGACATGGATGACTCCTGAAAATATTATGCTAAGTGAAAGGAGGGCCCGGCAACCCACTCCAGTATTCTTGCCTGGAGAGTCCCCATGGACAGAGGAGCCTGGCGGGCTACAGTCCATAGGGTCACATAGAGCTGGACACGACTGAAGCAACTTAGCATGCATGAAAGAAGCCAGGCCACAAAAGATGACATGAGTCCTCAGAATGAGTTCATTCTAGAAAAGTCTAGAGAAGGCAGATCCATAGAGACAGACAGTAGATTACTGGGTGCTAGGAAGTGGGGTGGGGGGCAGAGATTAGGGAGGTGATGGCAGAGCAGAATGGACTCTTTTTGAGGTAAAGAAAATGTTCTAAAATTGACTATGGTGATGGCTGCCCACATCTGTAATTATACTAAAAGTCACAGAACTATAAACTGGTAAATTATATATTTTGTGAATTATATCTTAGTAAAGGTGTTTTTAAAAATGAACCAATGCCAGGTGAAAATGGCGCATACAGTTTGGTCTAGTTTTTGAGTAGTGAAAAGAAACAGAACATTGCTATACTTATTTGTATTTTGCCGTGCCTCACGGCTTATGGGATCTTAGGTTCCCTGACAGGGATTGAACCAGGATCCCGGCGGTGAAAACTGGCAAGTCCTAACCCCTGGACTGCCAGGGAAGTCTCCAGGACATTGTTTTTAAATAGCTGGTTTCAATGAGTTCTAGAATTAGGATTTATAAATCCATTTATTTTCCCACATTTGTCCCTTTTTCATTTTTGCAAAAGCCTGTATTACCCTTAACATAAGGCTAAGTCATGTGAACTAAAATAATAAGGTTTTATGAATATAAAAACGCTTTAAACCCTTGACTTCTCTAAAAAAAAAATCCGCACTTGGTAGCTAAGTGCCACTTTCCACCTTATCTTACAGATGGGAGAAGCGAGGCGGAGATCAGGGAGCCGGCCCCCAAAGAGCAGTGCTGAGGGCCTCAGGACCCCGGCCACAGATACAGAGAGCAGGGGGTCGGGTGGGGGCAAGGAGGGGGAGGCCAGCCCCCTTTCCAGGGGGACCCCCCAGAGCCAGCTCAGCGAGGCCGCACCTGCCCACCCTGGGGGAGACGTCAGACTCCATGCTGGTCTGCGACAGGCGCCAGTGTCCAAACACTGCAGTCTAATCCAAAATGGAAAAAAAATCTGCATGCCCCAAACTCCACAGTTCCACACACCCAGCAGAATGTGTATATCTGTGTGAGAAAGGACCCAGGCTGGAGGGTTCTGAGCTGCAGGCTAAAACAGCCCCAAACTGGAAACGACCCGTGTCCACAGACGGTGAAGGGAGCTGTCGGTGCGAATGGTGCGTCTCAGGGCTGAGGATGGTGTCGGGTTAGGTCGGAGAACGTCTTTACGCTCAGATGCTGAAACGGTCAGCAGGGGAGGCAGGAGGGCTGTATCACCTTCCAGGAGTTCAGCTAAGAGAGAGAGAAAGGCAGACGGAGAAAGCCCACAGCGGATGGCACCAATTTCAAAATTAAGGGGAAAAGCATGTGCTTTCTTATGTTTCTGCACTCGGAACAATTTTCTTAAAAACAGCTGGAGATGGGAGGAGGGCAGGAGGGAGAAAGCCATTGCCTGGCTCCATCATCCCATTTGTCAGAGGGCAAAACTGAGACCCATGAGGTGCAGAGAGTGGCTCAAGGTCACACAGGGCTCCTCCCAGGACTCCTGTCTCAGAGTTTCTCTCTCCTGACACAGGTGAGCCTGGGGTTTTGGCGTTTCCCTTCTGAGAGCTCTCCACGATCTGGGGGCCACGTCACCAGGGCCTGTTTTCTGGTATCAATTTCAACCGGCCTCCTCCCTGCCATCCCCCTGCCGCTGTGAACCCCGCCAGCTGCTCCCTGGGGGGCGCTCTGCCGGCACAGATGGCTGTGTGGCTTTGCCAAGGGTGCCGCCCTCTCTGGGCCGAGGTGTTGCAAGAGCCCGGCTGCCTGGGGGTGGAAGACCCTGGGCAGGGCACAGGCAGAGAGTCCGGGAGAGAAGGAGGGGAGGGAAAGAGGGGCAGAGACCCCAGGAACAGGGGTGAGGGCTCACGGGTCACTGGCACACCCTTCTATAAGCCCTGTCCCCCAACACGTCCTGGCTCCTCTGTGCCTGCAGTTCTGGGGAGGGGGGCCCTCACTGTGACACCCCTTTTAACACCAGCAGTCCAGATGCTAGACCAGCCCCACCAAGAGCCCACACTTACACCAGCGATTGGGCCTGCCACCACCTCTGCCCGTAGCCCCCCGCTGCACTCCTGCCCAGGGCCTGCCTTGCATGCCTTCTTCAGAGGCCATGGCTCCGGAGGTGGGGTGAGCTGCAGGTGCAGTGTACCCACAGGATTGGGTTTTCTCCTGGCATCATGCAGGGCACAGAGCACCAGGCAGAGTAGGCCCCCACCTGGGCCCCCCGCCCACCTTCTACACGTCAGGAGCACAGGGCCACCTTCCAAATCCTGCCTTCCCCAGGCTGGGGGGCCTGCGAGGGCAGTGGGGGTGACCCTAGGCCTGAGCCCCTGCACCCAGGCTGGGCAGGGCACCCCCCCTCCCCCACACACACACCAGCTGCAGTGAAAGTGAGAAAAGAAACTCAGTCGTCTAGACCCACAGCCCTGGACCCGCCCAGGCGGGCGGTGTGCTGGGAGCCCTAGCGGGAGCCTGGAGAGCTACAAACCTGGTCCCCAGCACAGGGGCATGGGGGGCTGCAGCCGGCCCTGCGGGGGACTCGGGGCCACCCTCTCATTCCACTGACACCTCCCGAGGTTTGAAGATGGGAGGGGGGCACCCTGTCCGCACCCCACCCTGAGCACCCGAGCTCCCAGCCCTGCGTGTCCGCCTCGGCAGCCCATCCTGTTACCAACAGCTTGAGAGCAGCCAGCTGAGGGCACCGGGCGGGAGCCGGGGACGGGGGCGCCTGATTGGAAACACAGGGGCCACTTCCTGGGGGCCTGCCCACCAGAGGAGGAAACACATCCAGAACATTCTAGCTTCAAAGCCTCGCGGGAGGCGCTGACACCAGGGTGAGCCACCAAGGGGCCCCAGGCCTCCCCCTCGGCCCCCCGCGCAGTGGGGTGGGGGGAGCTCCGGCCAACCCGGGAGCACAGCCTGAAGCCCCCAACCCTCCGAGGCCAAGAAGGCTTTGTTTTTCCTCCAGACTCTGTTGCAACACCCAGAGTGCTTGTCACTCCTGCTTTTCCCTTTGCAAGCTCAAAACCTTCACCCGGCCGCCTATCTCAAACAGCACAGGCAGCGTTATCCGTTTTGAAGTCTGCACACTGGGGCCTGAGCGTGTCACACACAATCTGTGCTTTGTTGTGGTGACGGAGGGCTGGGGGAGGGTAACCGTCGGGGTGAGCTGGCCCGGCAGGCCCGTAGTTGAGGGAAATAGAAGGCTCACCTACTGCTGTGGGCTGCTCCCTGGGCTTGGATCAGGGCCCGGGGGCCTGTCTCGGCCGCCTGCTGCATGTGCTCAGGGGGACCCCACCCTGTGTGGGACAGACACACGGCCAGGGCAGGGGAAGGAAGACCCCCCCACAACCCCGCCCCACGCTGCCCAGGCGATCCTCAGGGAGGCCAGCGTCCTCCTCCCACCAGGCCCCGCACAGCTGCTCTCCAGGCCCACGAGCCCCAAGTGGCTCTCCTGGGTCGGGAAGGCCCCTGGAGCTGAGGGTTCTGCACCAGCCTTTTGATGGGTGTCTTTATACGTCAACTTGGCTGGGCTATGGTGCCCAGCTGTTTGGTCAAACTCCAGCCTAGATGTTGCTGTGAAGGTGTTTGTGGATATGATTAACATTTACAATCAGAATCGGGAAAGGAGCTTGTACACTGTCACCCTGCTTATTTAACTTCTATGTAGAGTATGTCATGTGAAATGCCGGGCTGGATGAATCACAAGCTGGAATCAAGACTGCCGGGAGAAATACTGACAACCTCAGATATGCAGATGATACCGGTAATGGCAGAAAGTGAGGAGGAACTAAAGAGCCTCTTGATGAAGGGGACACAGGAGAATGAAAAAGCTGGCTTAAAACTCAGCACTCAAAAAACTAGGATCACAGCATCCAGTCCCATCACTCCATGGCAAATAGATGGGGAAAAAGTACAAACAGTGACAGATTTTATTTTCTTGGGCTCCAAAATCATTACGTATGGTGAATGCAGCCACGAAATTCAAAGACCCTTGCTCCTTGGAAGAAAAGCTGTGACAAACCTAGACAGC